CCCTAGAGACAATGCACTGTTCGTTAAGGAGCTGATGTGTCACCCATCTCTGCAGGCACAGGCTAAAACGAGGACACTCAAACCGCGAAATACCACGTGTTTACACCTGAATCAGGAGAGAAAGATGATTTTTTTTTTCGGCCATCAACATCATTACCTGAGCCTATCCAACGGTTGTCCCTGGATATCTTTCGCGTTGAACCCCCCCATCCACCATCCCTGAAGAGTGCTCAATTTTGAGACATCCCTCATTCTTGTACGGATATTTATTTCTCCATTAGCCACCCCGTAGGGAGCCGTTGCGGATATTCGTTACCACAAACTTCATTCGAAGCTTAACGGGACGGCTCGTCCCGGCCACATGCCCGAGATTCGAGTATATTGGTCCTTATCTTTCGCATTTCCGCATCCGAACTACTTCTTCGGGGCAGGAGCATATTCACATTCACTCTCATTGTTGCGAATATGAATATGATCTATCAATCATCTATCTGGTTCGGATACGGGGAATATCGGCTTCAAAAAGATCTAGGCGTTCCCTGAAGCGGGCACAGACTGCTTTCTATTTTATCGACGCGCGATAATGTCCTTGTGATGATCTCCCCGCGATGGTTCCCCTGTGCTGATATCGTGTCGTTTTCATCGTTTTGTACTATGTAGCATATAGAACATACCATATCCCAATAGCCGTGGCTAGCAACCAGATCATACAGGTCATTTACTATCTTCGTAGACACCCAGAAAACCGGACCTGCCCAATTTTACACATCGGGGTTTGACCCCACAGTCAAAATAAGTAGGGTCTATGTATGTACTTAATGTCGCACTGGATGACGCCCGACATTCATCGAACGCTGCACCCCGAAAGCGACATGCACCTTTAAAGAGCGATGCATGAACACCAAGGGGGTACTCCACCTCCAGTTTTTCTGCAAGCTAGGAGGGATATCTATGCATGACATATGCAAGCATTGTCTGCATGTAATACGGACTAGAGAGTAAATTGTTCCGTGCGTTGAATACAGGGTTACTTCATAGCGGGGGTTGGCTGCGTCTCTGTTTTAGTATGCGCTCAGACTTGATCGACCCTATGTGTCTACCCTGCGATATTTGAAGCGGAGACCGTTAAGAGCCAGACGCGGGCTCTCTTTTTGTTGAGGCCATGAAAATAAGAAATGGAATCATGTACGCTAAGCAGCCCAAGTGGTATTGCCATTTCGGTACGTATGCAGCCATGACCCCCATACAAAGCCGACGGAGGTACTGACCGGAAAGTGTGGATGGATTGCCGGATGGAATGGAATGGAATTGGTAAACGTAAATATCTCACCGAGGTGGACAGACGCTATATTGCTCTTTATGCACGCGTACAGAGATGGAAAAGAAAAAACAAAACATAAACCTAGCTAGAAGTACACAACGGACAGATTGGCTATGCAAAATGGGAGAACATGAGAGACAAGGCTCGAAGACTTAAGAATCAGCGTCCAGATGTGGTCGAAAATCCATACGGATATCCCATTCCTAATTTATTCCTGCCCGCAAACCTTCCATTCCATAGACCTAGGAGTCCGTGCGATAAAAGGATGGACCCAATACGCTGTGACCAGCGACGTCGACCCAAGACGGCTGCAGGGTAATTGAGGAGCACGATGTCATAACAGGCTTAACATTAGAAAAGGCAGTGACTTCAGTCACTTTGATCGATCCCTTTCAGGACCGAAGGACTCGGTGGAATAAAGAGAAAAATATTAGGAAATAGACAGCGAGATAGATGGGAGATGGTATCGGTAAATGAGCTCCAGTAGTTAAGCATAATCCCACCAGGATGCAGACAGATGAGAAAGTCCTACTTCGACGTGGCCTTCTCGCCGGCTGGTGGGCTCAACCCGGGGTTTATCAGCGCATCAGGAAGGATTATCGGCGCTTTTGGTGAAGCCCCAAGCTTCTCTAACTTCTCCCCTCTTATCACCTTTTCCATTTCCTCTTTTGTTAAAGTCTCGTACTCTAAAAGAGCTTTTGTGACGAGTTCAAGCTCCTTTCGGCGTTCCTTCAAGATTGATTTTGCACGGTTGCTGGCCTCTTCTACGATGCGACGAACCTCTGCTTCGATCTCTTGCTTTGTCTCGGACGAAAGAGCGTCATAATTGAAGCTGAGGTCAACGTTGCCAAGCTTCTTCGAATATCCCATTTGCGTTACCATTGAGAACGCAGTTTCGGTGGCACTGCGGAGATCCTGCGGTAGAGGCATATTAGCACAAGCAGAAATCATGAAATAGCCACGAATATAACTTACCGCTGCACTTCCACTGGTGACATTTTCCGGTCCATAAACAAGCTCTTCGGCGGCCTTGCCACCCATCGAAACGTCGATATCGGCCAAGTATTCAGTGTAGTTCTTAGAATAAATGTCCATCTCTGGGAGAAAGTGAGTGACACCTAAGGACATTCCTCGAGGAACAATGGTGATTTTGTACAACGGCATGGCTGCCGGAGAGAAGTATGCAACCAAGGCATGACCAGCCTCATGGTAAGCAGTTAGAAGCTTCTCTTCATCTCTCAAGACCCTGCTACGGGACTCGGCTCCCATGATGATCTTATCCTTGGCCCAGTCAAAGTCTGCTGGGCCAACTTTGGTTTTCTTATACCTGCTAGCGTGGACAGCGGCCTGATTAACGAGATTTTCCAAGTCTGCGCCGGAGAAGCCTGAGGTACCACGAGCAATGACGGCTGCATCGACATCAGTGCTAATCTGCACATTTTTCATATGATGCTTGAGAATATCGACACGGCCTCGGACGTCTGGGAGACCAACAACCACCTTACGATCGAATCGACCAGGTCGTGTAAGCGCCTTATCGAGCAGTTGGGGGTAGTTGGTGGCTGCCAGGATAATGACACCACTGCTTTGTGAGAAACCGTCAAGCTCAGTCAACAGCTGGTTCAAAGTTTGTTTGACATAGGCAGCGTCTCGCTCGTTTCTTTTCGCACCGATCGCGTCTAGCTCGTCGATAAAAATGATAGCAGGAGCCTTGGCTCTCGCCTGGTTGAACAGTTCACGGACTCGTTTGGCGCCAACGCCGACATAAATCTCATCGAATTCAGATCCAGACATATAAAAGAACGGTACACCTGCCTCACCAGCGACTGCACGGGCGAGTAACGTTTTACCGGTCCCAGGAGGCCCAACGAGCAGGACACCCTTTGGAAGTTTGCCGCCAAGAGACGAGAAGCGTTCAGGATTTGACAGAAATTCAACCAGCTCTTGTAATTCATCTTTGGCTTCGTCACATCCGTGAACATCGCTGAATCGAGCCTTCTGATGCTGTGGCTGTGCTTCATTGCTCTGGGCCCCACGAACATTTTTCATAATTCCAGTTGTCTCAACCAAGAAGCTGACCATAACCAGGGAGAAATAGCAGACAAAACCGAAGTAGAGGATGAATTTAACCCATCTGAAGACTTGACTTCCCGTCGACTCTTCAACCACAACGTATATGGGTGCATCCTTCGCTCCAGTGCCGTTCGTCTTGGTTGACATTCCCACTTGACCACCGTATGTCTGAGCAGCAACGGCTTGGCCAACGGCTTGCATTTGGTCGGGATTCAGATGTTCATGAGACGGTATTTGGCTTTGTCCTTGCATCGAGGCAGACGACATGCCCGTTTGCTGGAGGGCTTTCATATAAAGCTGGGCGGACTGGGCGTTGCTGGCAAATCTTCCACTCTGATAACGTTCGATCAGTATGGCTGGCATTTTTGCTCGTAGAAGGGCGGAATAAAAGGCGTTCTGAGAGCTCGCGCTTGTCGGATTACCGTTGGCATTTTGTTCGATGTATCGCAGAGTACTTTGGGACGGACCGCCGAACAAAAACCTTTGCTGCTGTGACTGGGATAGGCCCTTCACCTTAGGAATGGCTCCCGGACGGTTGAGTTGCAAGCTGGAGAGCGTAGAATAGGAACGGGCCAGACTAGCTTTCGGGGAATGGGACGAGGGAAACGCTCCAGCTATCTCTATTCGCCTGGAAGTGACTACTCCAAAACTTGTCAGCCGCAGCTAGGATCCATAGGATACGACATTACATACGCTGAGAGAGAAGACTGGCCGATCTTGCTTGCCGAAGAGCCAGATTTTGCTCCGCCGCCAGTCTTAACGTATCAGTGGGAAGCGTACGGAAGCATTCTGGGAGTGGCAAGCGAGATTCGACCTGCAGTTTTTCGTGAGTATGAGACCGACACTGCCTGGGCACGGCGAAAACACGTACATTCGAAGGGCTTCCATTATGCAACTTGCGAAGGGATTCTTGGCTTGCTGGGGAGGGAGCGGGGCGGGGCGCTGCGGAGGATGGCCGGTTAAGACATCTCCATGGCGCAGCGATCGCATTGGACATAGAGGGCCACAACTCGGATGCTACGTTTGCAACATTCTACGGTAGTCAGAAAACTCGTCAGTATAAACACCCTGTAGAGAGGAGACGTCCATGACAGCGCGAGAGCGTACCGGTAGGGCAATGGGGGTGTGGAAAGCCATGGGCGGAAAAGCCTCACGGCTGGAGCGGACAGCGACTCTGATCAGTGTCCGGGAAGAATGGTCGCGCAGGAAGACAGATTAAAATATAAGCTTGCCACAGGGAATAACTGCAGTCGCCATTGTTCCTCTTTCGAGCAAATTGAACCGGAGAGTCAAACGGTTCTGTTCCTTGATTGAAAAGCAGACCCGGCGAGCGGCGAATCGTGACAAAGCTGCGTTTGCCACCCAGAACGGTAAGCATCAGACCACGTGTGCCCTCCCATTGGCCCGCCCTGTCAGCGCCATGCTTAGTCAGTGGCGTGTGGCTTTGTCGCGGCTTAGTTAGTTACATAAGTCAACCGCCTTGGCAGCTCCGGCCTCCAAATCCGGCTCGCTGGGCGCTCTGGGCGGGAACACGACGGGGGAGGATTGAACGAGGAAGAGCTTTGGGGCTTTTTATTTATTTATTTATTTATTTATTTATTTTTTTGGCTTCCTCCATGTAAGGGAGCCTTCGAGTCCTTGTCTCCAGCACCGGCCGTCGGTGTGCAGCCCACGCATGGAACCATGGCATACAGGGTGATAGCCTTCAGCGGGCTTCCGCCTCGGAGTGCTCTCAACTGGGATGAATCGGAGCTCCTTCAACCACCGCTACCTCCCTTCTACCAGCCTAGATCGCTAGAAGGAGAAGGACTAAATTCACAGGCCCGATGGCGATCGCTCGCCCCAATCAAAATTCCTTCTTTTATGTCTCCGACGTACGGAGCATCTTTCTTTACAGTGGGAACAATTCAGAGGTACAGCGGAGACTCCGTGAGCTTGGACGTTGACGAGAGCACGTTGTCGGAGTTCTACGATCAGTCGTTCGCTCTCCATGAGGGAACGCATCACTCTTTTACGAGTGTTACAAAGTCGTTTACAGACGACTCCGAGCTTACTCCAAGCTTCGAAGGTGAAAGCCTCGATTACTCGATGTCCAAGCTTTCACAGTCCAAGGTCAACCAGCAGAACTTCGAGGGTCAACCTGTGTATGGACACCTGATTGACGTCGAAGATATCCCTAGCGCGATGTACCTACAGTCCTTAGCTCCACGGAAAGTCATTGTGAGCCTGGTCGTTGCCATAATCAACATTCAGCCGCGGCGCCGCGTTCAGACACGATGGGGTCGTGAGATGGACATTGTGGAGCTGTTGGTGGGCGACGAGACGAAGGCTGGGCTTCGCGTGAGTTGCTGGGTGCCGCCGTCGACAGAGGACACAAGGACTGTCACTGCGAATTCGTTGGAGCAGTCGCTCAAGGCGTTGCGACTGCGTGACATAATTCTGCTGCGTCACATCGTCCTGGGGTCCTTTCGCGGGCAAGTCTATGGCCAGAGTTTACGGCAGAACATGACGAAGGTTGATGTTTTGGATCGCGAGGATGCGGGAGTTGGTCAAACCGATCGTCCGGGGGAGGCGAACAGGTCGGGTCCGCATGCGCTGAAGATCCGCAAGGTGAGGCGCTGGATGCGGAAGTTCGTCACTCCGGGGGCGGCCGGGAGGGAGGATGTGAACAATTTTTTGTTTGTCGCGCCGGCAGGAACCGTCCAGCTTCCACCTGATACTCAACAGTGAGCAATGCGCGGCGTGCTCTGCAGATAGCGATAATAATTCTTAATCGGCAGTTCGCTGGTCACGTTAGACCAAAAAGTCGTCCTGCTTTTGGGCGTTTATTTTTATTATTATTTTTTTAATTTATTTATTTATTTATTTTATTTTCATTTTTGTTTTCGTCGTTTGGGCTATCCCTCCTCTTAGTTCATTGATTATCCCGAATGATTTTCCTGAGCGAGCCGTGATTTGCAGGAAGGATGCGAGATGGGCGTTTTGCAGTGTCGCATCGATGCTGGGAGGGGTCGTGCTTTTATGCGATCGAAGGAATGGCAAGACGTTGGCTCGCCACGACACGGGATGTTTAAATACGGATCATCACCACCATCATCACATTGTATTCTCCGGGTGCTATGATGCTCATATAATTGGAGGTGCTCTCAACTCTCCCTGGTGACGTGGCTTTCCAAGCAATTTCTTACGGTTGCATTTCCGTTCCTTGGGAGAAGAGCCCCATCTTTCTCCATTTTCTCCATCAAATCATTGCTCTTGTGCCGATCTTGGTTAAATCAGATGATCCATCAAGCTCCTCCACAGCTACTAATAATGTTGGTCCCAGTTTTGTCCGTATGGAGTTCTCGTTCCTTGTCGGGATCGAGCGCTGTCTCAGACACAAGAGACAACCTTGACGGCGGTTCCGGGCATTCGTAAAGAGGGTCTCCAATTTTTTCCTTTCTTTCTTTTGGTCTTTTCTTTTGTTCTCGTTTTTACTTCCTTCTTTTTCTTTCCAAGGCTCAATTTATGACCCTCTGGTTCTGGGTTTTGTTTGGGTTGATCTCCGACAGCGTTTTAAGCTTTTCAGGGAGAAAAAGAGGTACATGGATATGCGTGGCAACCCAGCAAAAAGTCCAGGTACTCCGTACCAAGTCAGGTATCAAATAAGGCCAGGCCCGGGTGCCCACCTGAGAAAGTGGCCGTTTAATTAAGTTTTAGTTAAGAAGCGCCCTCAAACAAACCCCCGGCCCCAGCCCAATAGGAGTCGGCATAGTGGCCACCAAGCCAATCCCGGTCCCTCTCTCGGAGCTCCCTTTTTCTTCCCTCCCAAACCCACCCGACTCGCGTTACGCACCGCTTCTTTTCCCTTCCCCTTAAAAACGCCGCATCCCTGGTGCAACAATCTTGACAGCCGCACCGAGTTGTTTTCTCCTACTTTGATATTATTACCCCCTCCGTCCTTGAAACAATTGCCAGTTGTTCTCCTTTTTCCATCGCCGCCGCTGAAATCCACCCTTCTCGCAAGCACGAGTCTTGCGGCTGTCAAACCTGTACATCTGTCCACAAAGGCCTACGCTCGTTATATCCCTTACCTCTGACCCCTTCATCGACTCTACTCCTCACCAACTATCGCCGCTCCCGCCGCCCGTCATCGTTGACCGATATACCGCTCCAAACCTATTGAATTCAATTACACTACACTCGTTATCATGAAGGGTACGTTGGTGTGCTGTTTGGTGAAAAAAAAAGGATGTTCTGCTAATCCGCTTGCGACAAACTCAGCTCTCATTCTTGTCGGGGGTTTCGGTACCCGTCTACGTCCATTGGTGAGTCTTTCTGACGTTCCGCAGCCGTGGGCGGGGTAATGAGACCGTTTTGCTAAACTTGTACAACTGGTAGACTCTCACTCTCCCAAAGCCCTTGGTCGAGTTTGCCAACCGTCCTATGATCCTCCACCAAGTTGAGAGCTTGGCAGCCGCTGGTGTGACAGACATTGTCCTCGCTGTCAACTATCGACCAGATATTATGGTCTCTACACTTAAAAAGGTAAAATAAAACGGCTTTCCCACTAGCAGCTAGCAGTCGAACGGACCACGCTCACCAGCCCGGCTCCGTCTACAGTACGAAGAAGAATATAACGTGAAAATCGAATTTTCCGTCGAATCCGAGCCACTAGGCACTGCCGGCCCCTTGAAGCTTGCGGAAAAGATCCTCGGCAAAGACGACAGCCCGTTCTTCGTCCTCAATTCCGACGTCATCTGCGAGTATCCATTCAAGGAACTCGCGGAGTTTCATAAGAGACACGGAGACGAAGGTACGATTGTGGTCACAAAGGTGGAGGAGCCCTCAAAATACGGTGTCGTTGTTCATAAGCCAAACCACCCTTCCCGGATCGACCGATTCGTCGAGAAACCCGTCGAGTTCGTCGGCAACCGCATCAATGCCGGCATCTACATCCTCAATCCTAGCGTACTGAAGCGCATTGAGCTTCGTCCTACCTCAATTGAACAGGAGACTTTCCCTGCCATTTGCAAGGATGGCCAGCTTCACTCCTTTGACCTTGAAGGCTTCTGGATGGACGTCGGCCAGCCCAAGGATTTCCTGACCGGAACATGTCTCTATCTTTCTTCTCTCACCAAGCAAAAGTCTAAGCTCCTGTCGCCCTCCACTGAACCATACGTTCATGGCGGAAACGTCATGGTCGACCCTTCAGCCAAGATCGGCAAGAACTGTCGCATTGGGCCCAACGTGACGATCGGGCCAAACGTTGTCGTCGGCGACGGCGTTCGGCTGCAACGATGTGTCTTGCTTGAAAATAGCAAGGTCAAAGACCACGCCTGGGTGAAATCCAGCATTATCGGTTGGAACAGCTCGGTTGGCAAATGGGCACGATTGGAGAACGTCAGTGTTCTAGGTGATGATGTTACCATTGGCGATGAAGTTTATGTCAATGGTGGTTCCATTCTCCCTCACAAGAGCATCAAGCAAAATATTGACGGTATGTCTTCCTTTTGACCGACTACGGTATATTTTCTCGCTAATATATGTGTATGCAGTGCCCGCTATTATCATGTAAATTTGATGACGGGGTTGAACTTATGTTATCTCTCCCATAATATTCATAATAATCGTTTTCCACGAAGATTTTGATTCGACAAACAATTAACTACGTAACTGATATAATTGACGAAGGAAGGGTCCGGGAAAAGTGATGGAATATAACGGAGAAGGGTGTTTGTGTTTTACCTTGAGCATACGTTCATGTTCCATGCATTTCTCTCCTCGAATTTCGCAGCATTTATCTTCGCATGTACAAATTTTCTTTTTTCTTTTTTTTTCTTTTTCTTTTCTTTTCCTTTTCTTCTCTTCTTTTTCTCCCCCTTGTCTGATGGCTTTTGTGCCTTTTCCCCCGGGCTCTCCTGTTCTGAGCCGCCTTTTTTGTTGGGTTAGGATTTATTGCGAGTTCGAGTTTACTCTCTTCACTCTCCCCTTCCGCTCAACTCGTCGAAAGCGCATATTCGAGTTTTAGTTCCGGTATTTTTTTTTTTTTCCCATCTTCTTTTAGTTTTAGCCCCTCTCTCCCCCTTCTTTTTAATCCCGGTATCTTCGCGTGGATGAAATAGGAACAAAGGGAAGTGCAAGTTCCCCTCTTAATTTGCTTTTTCCTGCCTTTTTTCTCGTGGCCACTTAGGCACTTCCCCTTCTTCACTCGTGTTTCATGCATGAGATGCGTTTCCTGGTTTTGGGGAGGGGGGAAGAGTATCAATTGAAAAAATTACCTTAAAAGGTCTTTGCTCCGTACTCATGTGCCGACTATCTGTTTCGTGTTGTAGCTGTGGTCCCTCGACCCTGTACAGTTACGGGCTCCGGTGAGAGGTCGTTAGAATCATGCACGAACCGTGAATGATAGGGATATCTTTTCCCTTTTTTCCTTTTTTTTTTTTTTTTTTTTTTTTTTTTTTTTGGGATAAGTTCTATTATTATCAATAAGTGTTGCAACAGTAATACAAGTAGAAACGTCAGTCTTGGATTCAACACCAACCCCGTCATCTGGGTTTATTCTGTCTAGGCCCGAAAAAGCATAGCAAGTCACTTCCAGCCCAACTCTCATGTTCTAGGCAGCCTTCTCTCCCATGTTGTCTTCCGCTCGGTCCAAAATGTCATCCCATCTAACCCGCAGCTCCTCCATCTCCCTCCAACATCGTCTCCCCAACTCTTCAAACTCCACCCTCTCCTCAGCTGTTAGGTCTCTGGCTCCTCTTTTCCTCCTCCGTGTTCGATCACCTTCTAATTGAGGACCTCCTACAATGCCACCAAAGCCCCATCCTTCCACTTCTGTGCATACTACGCTCTCTCTGCCCAGCCGGTCACACGATGATCCCCATTTTACCCTGCCTCCACCAAGGGCTGCGTATGCTGCTTCTGCGGCGTCAATCACCGAATGAGGAGCTAGAGCGAGCCAGACGGAGGCAGCGGCGCCACGGTAGGAGGAGAGGACGTGCCATGGAGACCCAACGATTCTGGCAAACCAGAATGCGGCGATCATGGCGTAGTAGAGTGGGAGGATAAGGGGCAGGATGGAAGTTGCGCAGATGCCAGGATGCGCGACGTACATGCTTGGTGTCGTGGAAGATAGCTTCCGGTCTTGCAGGGAGGACTTTCCGTTGCTGATGTGATTATCGTCGTCAAATGAGGAGAGGAAGGAATTGACCCAAGGAGCGGTGCTTGGCAGTGGAGATGTTAGCGCCAGAATATCCGTAAGATATTTGACCGATTCGTAGGCTCGAGAGGTCTTTAGGGCTTGGATGTCCGATACGTCAAAGACTTCTCTGTTTGCTTCTAGGCTAGATGTCCAGATAATCCGTCCTGGAATGTCAGACTTCTTAAGCAGCGGAACCAAGTTATGACTCAGCATGTAGTGACCAAAGACATTGGCGCAGAATAACTGGCCGAGCGGTGGCTCATCCGGTAACTGCGTTTGCTTCTTCACCAACGTTCCTGTCGGGCTTATACAGTATGAGGATGGCCAAGTCACTGCATATATCAAATCAGTGAGTACCATGTATATCGCACGGAACCAATTTAGGCCGCTGAAGCCAGCAATTCCCGCATTCAGCACAACGACGTCGAGCTTTGGCGTTGAGGCGAGAAGTCGACGGGATAGCGCCCGGACAGATAGCAGGTCGCAGAGATCCACATTCTCTGGTTTTAGCGTTATCCTTTCCAAGTCCCGGCCCGAGACCCCCGCTAAACGAAGATGTCTCTGCAGGTGCGCCAGCGTCTCATTGCTCTTTCTTGTGCTTCTCGTGGTGAATATCAAGGTTAACGATTGGGTTCTCGGTCGTGTATGGAGGAATTCATCAATCAACCGGCGACAGATCGAAAGACCGAGGCCGCTTTTTGCTAAGGGTCAGATCGCTTCGTGTCGTGTGCAGAAGTATCGGGAGCTGTAACAATACCTGTTGGTCCCTGTCACCAAGACAAACACCTGATCGTTCAAATCTCCAAGCTGTGCTGGCATTGCAATTGAGCCCATTTCTCCGCATCTATGAGCAAGATATGTATCGGAAGAGGGGTGGTGAATCCTGCTCAGAGCTCCGAATCCTCCTCTCCGTACCCCTGAGATTGGGCCGAACTACCGTTCGGTGTAGCTTTCCTTCAAGCTACACCGCACAATCACGCTATCTTCCTCGCCCAGCATAGTTTCTTGGCAGTGTCACGGGATCTGCAGAAAGCACGTGAGAGAATCTATGAGGTCATGTGACCACTTTCGAAGCCGCTCGCCCGCCGCATCCAAGCCACCCGAGGCTGTTGATCTGCTTGAGACAGCTGTTTGACTACGAGTTGAATGACCATAACCGGGTCCGCCTGGGAACGAGTGCATCTCGCCCTTGCCCACCACACCCTAAGGGAATCCTGATACGGACCACCCATGTTGTTCTGCATGCAGATGCCGACATATGTACATACTAATTGGGTCATAATCGAGGATCTGCACTCGAGTGATTCTTTGCCAATTGTGGGGATACGCAATGCAAACAACCCCGGTCCTGGCCGTCAAGAGCGCTCAATGTCCGGTTCGCCATGACTGCCAGTCTCACATGGCTGGACAACTGTGGCTGCAAAGTCATGGGCAAGAGCCCAGTCTAGGTACTCCGTATGTCACCTCGACGAAGAGATAAAAAGACTGCTAGCTGCCAGGAGAACACCCGACTGGCCCCTTTGCCAGTCTCAGGCAAGTGGAGGAGTCAGGACACCCCGGTCATGCTTCGGCCCGCGCTTTGATTTCGCATGTTTGAAAACATCGCTTAAGCTGAAGCAAGGTCATCAGCAAGATTGGCAAACTGTGGAATCAAGAAAGATAGTGGCTCGTAAGACTTGGGATCCCAGCGTTGAGACGAGGCGAATGTGCGGAGGACTCCGTTCTCGCAGACGAGAGAGGGAAAAAAAAAAAAAGCCAACCCCTAGTTACTTCCCCGCAGTCTTGCTTTGGTATTTAAGCCGTTTCTTGCATGCCGAGCCGACGGAGCATTTTGCTTCCCCCCTTCATTATGCCGTCGACTTTGATATTCTTTGTTGAATCCCCGAGTGTTCATCCACACACACACGGCCCACGTCGTTCGGTTCATGCCGAAGAGGGATGGAATCAAGTACTCTGTACTGTGTATGTGGATGTATTTGGCTGCAGAATGCAGTATCCCTGTAAGACGCATGACGTTTTACGTCAGGGGAAGGAGGGAGGTTCGGTCCTGGTAATCGATTTTTTGGTGAGTGGTAATGTTTCGGGACGGAATCATGCCGATGGTCAAAATGACAACCGGCTTGCGTTCACCTGAAGGTGACCAGAGACGTTTCTTTTCCTTTCCTTTCCTTTTCATTTCAATTTTTCCCCCCCTCCTGCTTCATGTGCCTGATTAGCCCAGTCTCACCCTGGTAGATTGTGGATGTTCTATGAATATCAAGAATGCTTGCAGTTAGTTCTTTCGTCGGATGGATGGGGGGAATTCGAGAAGAAAAATGGAGATGATCATCAGCTCAAACCACGCTCTCAAAGAAGGGAAAAAAAAAAAGAAAAAATCACACGACTTGACTCATAGACAGGAATGATTAATCTTCGCTACACACGAAGCAAATAGGTGGGAATATTGGGTTGCTTTCGAGCACTAACTTCCCCCTATTGTTGTTGACCAAGAAATCATGCATATGCTTCCCTGCCTCCAGAGTCAGCCATATTCGTAATCGCTTACCAACAGTTCGCTTGAGGACGGTTTGCGCCTCGGATTGCTCAACGGCGTCGTGGCACTTAATAATAGTAGGTTTTACTCCATCCTCCGTGAAAGAGAGATTTACTGCAAACGGAGCATCCTGGACGGTTCGGATAGAATTTCCGAACCTGGAGAATTGCTTTTTTAGGGACGAACTGGCTCGAGGGACTGGCCAGAGCCCGCTTCATGCCCATCCACCCTGGGTCCGCCTGATAGGCGATTTTTAGTGCCAAAGTCTTTTTGGCGGGAACCGATCATCGACGAAGCTAATTTCCGACGTGACGTGCTCATTTGATGTCGCATTTTCGACTCTTCAAACGATTGCAGATGCAGGATAAACGGCTCAGAACTTACAGAACATGTCCGATCGAAGGAGAAAAAAAAATATTCCACAGATCTCAAAGCTCTTGTGTCTGGCATGTTTCGTCTTCAAACATATTGTGAATCGTCTTCCAGAGGGGCGCGTGGATTTCATCACTCGGGCAATTTTCATTGGCAAAAGCTCCCACATCCATGGAAAGGTACTCCCGATTATCTCTCTCGATCTCTCTCTGGCCGAATTTCTAAAACTCGACGGAAAAGAGCCTGACGCCTGAGCCAACCGGTTTTGTCTGATCCAGGCCCACAACCTGCAGGAACCAGCCGTGAAGCTCGAGAACTCTAAAATCAGGAGCTTCATTGACCTTAGAAAAGACCAGCACGGTGCATCCTGATGAGAAACCGGGTATCCGTGCTTTGGTGGACCGGTCCCTGGGCCACAAATCCGGAATTTTGATTGTTGATAGACATGCATACATAACTAAACTCTGCGCGATGGCTAGGGAGAAAATCTGCCTCCTTCACCGCTGGCAAACTCCTGGCAAGTACTCCGTAATACACACCGTTTTGCTGTCTTGTCCTCGACCCGCTTCGCTTCAAACACAGCGTTGCTGTGTTTGTGATAAAAGAAACGGCGAGTTCGAGTGAAAAGAAAGACGGATACGGACACCATACCTACCGTACGGTTACAGTTTTTCTTTGATACGGCTTGTAATGGCTGAGTTCGCGCTAGGATAAAACTCCGCGGGAAACTTAATTGTGTGGAGAATAGCCGCACCCTCCCGAGCTAACCCAATTCAGTGCGGGGACGTGAACCAGCTTTCTCCGCTCGATTCGGGCGACGAGGTCATCTACATAGTCCAAGTCGTGTTTGCAGGTTCCGAGCTCGTGGGGCATTGCCAGGCCGCTTTCCGGCATCTTCCGCCATCGGTGCCGTTCGTGTTGATGTTCTTCTCAAGAGTGCGTGTTGTACATGAAATACACGGTCTCTCTTCAGAGGCTGGTTGATGGACATAAAAATGAAAGCCTTTCGCTCACCGATTTCAAGAAACCCGCTGTCAAACACAGCACTGTGCTAATTAACCAGGATGCCCCATCCTTATGATCGACCGCGGAGTTACCTTAGTGTAAGACTCAGCCACAATCTTGTGGAAAAACCATGTGCTGCCAAATTCATGGCTCATTTGCAGTAGTGAACCACGCATTGTGGCCCGTCAAATCGCAGAGTGGAGCCTAAAGGGTGCGATCTGACGAGATGCTTAGCAAGCGGAGCTCCCGCTGATCTGCCTGGTCTGGGCCCTTCACCTTGTTCAAACAAGAGCTAGCCGACCATTAAGCGCGCTGAAATCGAAATGCTTTCAACTCTTCCCGTTTTCCACGCGCCGCCCAGCGAGCTCCTTCATACATCCGCTGGAGTGAAGTTCCTCCGTCCCAAAGCCAGTTGTCGCTGAAGAGGCGAGCGCCTCATAATCATGCGACAGCTGATCTTCCAAAACGGTCTGCATTGAAGAGCGGGGAGGGGAAAACAGAGTCTAAGAACCGTCACTCACACCCCCTTTGCAGGCCAATTCATTATTGGACCATTGGTGAACGGGCACGCTTTTACCCATGCAACACCTGAATAATAACGCCGTTCTGATATTACCGGTGAATCCTCCGAACTCGGCAAGGACGTTCACGATCGTATCTCGGATCTGCATTCGATTGCAAATTGGATCTGCAGCGTGGGAGTGCAAGGGTGGAGGTCCCAGGAAAGGTAATAGTAGCCGCCGCGCTATCTTTCTAGTATGAACATCAAGTACGGAGTACTCCGTATACCGAAAAGCTACTAAGGAACATCAGCAGTACGGTGGAGGATAGCAGTAAAATTGGACGCTTTCGGCGGACGAGTTGCGGACACCACACCAAAAAAAGCAACGTTATTCCCAACGATGCTCCCAATTGTAACTCTCGGTTAGTGCGCCACACGCACTGAGCTGTGCTTGTTTTGAATGCACGCCAATGCACAGCGTGTTGCTGACTTTTTTTTTTTTGGCACGCTTCAGAAAAACGTGGTAACCTACTCCAAACCTGGATCGCCGAATGCACGCGGGTTCAATCCCCTCTGCAAAAGGAACCAGCACCATCGCCCTGTCGCCGAGAGCACCGTGCCTTGATATGACGCCGTTCTTCATATCCATCTCAAGCAGTTGATGTTTCATACCGGCATCGCTATTGCATTTTCTTTCATCTTCCTCGTCGATAATTGCGCATATATTACTCCGTAGAAAGCGCCACACTGTGTGAAAATCAGGGGAGGTATGTACATCGTCCTTTGCTGAGTCACAGCTTACCCAAAAAGCTTGGAAGGAAGACCCGAAATGCAAAAGTTTACCCTGGAAGGTCGAACAAATCGAAGAGCGAATGTCGAGACAGCCAAGAGACTCTGCAGCCGGGGGAAAATTGAAGAAAAAGAAATGGGACGGAAAAAAGCCAGATTCAACAAAGCAGCAACTTGCAAATGCAACTGGCTAGCTCCAAACATTGGAAGACAGCGAGCTTTCCGAGATTAGCTCGAGCAGCACGGTTTTCGTCTCGACAGCGTCTCCAGATATTAATCCCTGAATTTTGCAGCTGCACATGCTTTGAAACATCTTTGAAAAGCTCGTCTTCCCGTTGATTGGCATGCTTTTTCACTCATAATTATTTTTTGGGGCACACATGACATCCGGTGCTTCCTTCGAGATCATCGAGGCCACGTAATATGGAGGAAGTCAAGAAGATACATTCCGGAGAGTTTGATCGTTCTGGGAGGATCTTTTTCGAGGCTAGAACCAGTTCACACCATGGTGCTTCAGAGGCTGGAGTTGGAGTTGGCCGAAGAGGAGGACGAGGGAGGATGGGTGTAATTTCTTTTGGGGGAGAAAGTCATGGCGAGATCCGTTGTGGGGCGTATCCGTTTAGCACCTGGCCGGTGGTCTTGGCTTTCATGCTGGCTAACACACCCAGAAAACACGGGGGGAACCACAACCTTAACCAATCCCAAACGCCCGCTGCGGTATGTAAAATATGGGCGCCAGGTATCGCAACGGTACGTCGTTACCTGTAAGCCCTAGTATTGAACGGATACATCGGTATCTAGTGTAACGTGACCTCTCCCATCCCAGCCCAATGGCACAGTTTCTCCAGTTTTCCCAGCGCCATTTTCACCCAAAGCTGAGGAGGCCATCCCAGCCTGCTGGGATCCTATCAGATTCGCATGTTCCAACATTGGTGTTAACATGCCGCTGCCCAGCACGCCTAACCCCGCAGTGGAGGACGCTCCAGGCTGTCCAGGAACCAAGGTCCGGAACCTCTGAATTGGGCGATGGACGCCAGCGAAGGACGATATGAGAGTGAGTCGAGCTTCCGGAACATTTGGATGGCCTATTTTCCAAGTCGGCGATGGGGCTAAACAGCTGTGGTTGTAGTGTTCTCTCGCTAGTGCTTGCTACTTGAGAGGATAAAGCTCTACCAAACCCCTTGCGGCATTGAAGCGGTTCGAGAATATGAAACCAGTTGTAGCTGCTACTTTATGCAACCACCTTCTCCTCATCTCGAAGGAAGTACCTTATATTTGTAACCAACTGACGCTCTCCGCTAAACTTAGGTCAAACGAGCATATGGATGACGGGAATCCATGGCGAAAGCCACGATCCAACCGCGTGTCTACTTAACCCAAACACATCGGGAGAATGACAGGCTTTTGGACCAGTTCTCAGTAGCGCTTCTTCCTTACCGTGCGGGGTGGCTTCTGGCGATTCTGGGAGCCACGTCGGCAATGCGAGCGAATGGGATCGTATACGGATAGATTGCGATCGAGAAAAATGATTTGGGCAGGGGAAGGACGTCAGGTGTGACCATCAGAAGGACCATCTCACTATAAGCCCACCACGATGAGGGGCTCTCCCTGCATGTTTTCATGCTGCGCACAACGAATCAAGGCCGGTTTGAGCCACCTCATGAGCTTCTCGGCACGTTCCCGGTGAGCTATAACGGCAGAATCATGAATAAGCTGAAAGACGTATTATGATTCAGGGTTTATTGAGCGTCTGTGAAACCCAGGACGTTGGTTGACGTGTGAAATGATCGACATCGTTGGGTCCTTTGGGGAGAAGAGACGACAACCTTGCAAGGCTTCGGTGAATACCCTCTTCGTTTCAGAGAAATATGCTCTCGATCGAAGCTTGAGGCCATTTATTCTTCCTTTGAATAAAGTGTCAAGGACCTACATATTCGCCTCCATGGTTAACACAGGATGTTTTGACGACGAGGTGGAGGTTGAAGACAACCGCGAATATGGGCCAAGGACACAGTTATTGGTTACATTTCGCCCACTGACTATTTTAGCGAATCCCAAGGGGGCGAGAGTGGCCAGAGATCAGATAAACAAAGCTTTCTTGACTGGGTTGAAGCCAGAGAGATCTGGGGTATTAACAAACTTGGCGGTGCACGCAGGCCGACCCATGAATCGGATCCACTTCCTTTGCGGCGGAGTGTCAAGCTTCAGAAAGATTCCCAGGGGCGGCAGGTGGTGACAGATTGCCTGAAATTCAAAATCCCTTGCAAGATCTAACGTTGCTTGAAATGAGGAAGAGGGAGCCATTATTATTTCGCAACAATCAAGGTGTTCAATGGACGGCTCGCCTGCCAACAGCTGATGCGAGATGTTACCATCTCGTCCTCCGTGCATGGCTGTATGTATGTATGGACCGTACTGTACGTATCTACATACCGTAATATACGGCACTGTACTGAAATACGCATCGCGACCTTGTTTAGCTCCCACCCCCCGAGTTGACGCCATTGGTTCCACGAGCCGTCCCAGTTCCCTTCGGATTGCGGAGTTTGAGAGCGTTTCGGGGCTAGTGGGCTTTTCCCTGACGGCCAGTTCCGCCTGCCCGACACCAATCTGGAAGAGCGCATGCAACTTGCAGGTCGTAAAATGACCGGTACGAGGAGGGTCGCAGGCATGAATATCGTACAGGACTGGCCCGTACAGCGCTCCCGTCATTACTCGGTACGGACGGGTCGGCGCTATCCCGTCACGTCAATACCGACCTGCTAAATTAGCCCGCCCTTTCTGCTAGCCGCATCGGGGCTAGGGTGAGATTGCCCATCTTGACAGGGAAGCTTGGCTCGAGAGTGCTCGTCCCACGTCTTGGCTCCCTTTCATGCTTAAGTCGCCTCAATTCTCGCTCCCCAAATCAAATAATCTTTGTCAAATTCACAGTGCTTGTTGCTGTCGCTGCAGAGCTGGTCTTTGGCTTCCTGTTATACTATGTTTTTGCAGAGCACCTTGTTGAGCCGACTTCCTTTTCTTATATACTTCGCCCGGTTACGATACTCGCACCCTTCAATATACCGCCACCCATTCGTATGCTAGCATCCTTTCTCCCTCTTTCCGCATACCCACATATATCCCCTCGTTGTCTTCCGGAAAGGACGGTGTAGCAAGCAAAAGAAGAACGCCATGGCACGGACACGCAGCTTCCCGTGTCCATGGGCCACCTGTAAAAAGGTATAACCTGACGCCCGTCCCACACTTTATCCCGCCTGGCTTCTGTGACGTATCTCAAAAGGCATTTCGTGGATATTAATGGCCGCTTAAACACAGGTTTTCAATCGCAAATCGGACCTGTGTCGACATTACCGAATACATACCAACGACCGTCCGTATCACTGCGAGTTTCCAAATTGTACAAAGAGCTTCATCCAGAGGTCTGCCCTGACTGTTCACTCGCGGACCCACACCGGCGAGAAACCGCATGTTTGCGACGTCCCGAACTGTAGAAAAGCATTCTCAGATGTGTGTGATACAGCCCCTCATATTTCATTTTTGACCGTTAAACCCGTCCCCTTCTCCCACGGCTCGGCCTGTGATTGCTAACCATTTGCGTACAGTCTTCCAGTCTTGCACGACATCGGCGGATACATACTGGCAAGAGACCCTATAAGTGTCTCGAGCCGACTTGTGAGCGAAGGTTAGATTACATGTATACAGTTTGCAGCTGGATGATAACTGACCGATTCCCTAGTTTCTGCCGGAAGACCACCTTAACAAAACACCAACATCGTTCGCATCAGCTAGAACTCTCTTCGCAGGCCCATTGTATTCCGCAGCATTCTCCTCAGGGCATATACTCTCAACCGCCATCTCAACCACCGCCCGTATTACCACAAACAACACAAAATATCACCGAACCCCTACCAGCATATCAACAGGCCGGAATTATGATTAGTGCCGCTGAATTCTATCCATCCCAAACACAGCCAGTCCACGCAATTCCAGTTGCTGCCGAAAATACGGTCCTTGATCCTGAGATCCAGTACGTTGGCAGTGGGATGGTAATGCAACCGCAGATTCAACGCTTCGATGTCACCACCCCAATCGAGTCTCTTACTCGCTTTCAGCCCATACCTCCAAATATTGTACCTCACTTCGAAGCCCTAGCTCCAGCGCCCTATGGTGGAGTCTTCCCCCTAGACAACAAACCTTTGGGTCCACGCATTCTGGATCCATATCCGGAGCGAGGAAATTTTGATTTCTTAGGCCTGGAAGGCTGAGATGAAACTTCTATGATTCTGAAACTTATATCGCCTTTCTTTCCTTTTAAAGAATCGCAGTTTCGCAATAGTGCAGTGCTATCTGACGCGTTGCATTTTCAACTTCTGATTTTTATTTTTATTTTTTTTTTTGGAGCCAAGACAAATGACTGGAGTTCGGTAGGTGTTGTTATACAGCTTTTTAACCAATTCTCTTCAGTTTTTGTATATTGCTATCGACTTTTTGTGTTGCCATTGGAGGATTAAGGTTTTCATGCCAATACTTGCTCTTTGCCTTCCTCGATATGAAGACTGATAACATTGGCTATATTTGGAGATACTATTTTTTTGCTCCCTACTATTCCCTGATTTGGGGTGGATTGGAGTTTTATGGGCATTTCGATACAGGGTCAGGACTGAAGGAAAGGATGGAAAATCCCTTTTGGAATGATGCTCCTTCTGTTGAAATCTACTCATTTATACGGCAAGATACTACTGAAGTAATATGAAGCTGCGCGACTTAACCCGCAAACTTACTTTGTTGGGACTGCAAAATCTCGCATGTCTGTGTCCGATGTCAATACTATGCTACCTCAGCCGCAAAGCGCCTACTCTCGGTGAATTTCGCTAGCGATTGAATACATAGAAGCTTGGCATCTTAACCATTTCTACTTTATTTATTAAGGAAAGAAAGAGAAGAATACAGATGCCATAGAAACTTGTGGTTACTTGCGTCTCAAGACAAGGCTTTGACAACAATATTTGTCTTTCAGCATAACTTCCGGATCAGGCGAAGGGGGATCTAGCTGGAGAGCCCCAATGAAAGCCTATTTGACGCCCAACGATTCCATCACTCCTGTGCAGAGGAAGCTCAACAGGGTGACAGCCTCGAGAAATGCCATTGGACAGTGCTGCCTCCATGAATTTGATGATGCCAGTCAAACATTCCAGAGGTCGGGTAAGCACAAGCATTTCGTACATATTTCCCAGCCAACGGCGAGCCAAGGGTTATCCTTTCGGATACATGATTAGTTCTAGTAACCCTGTACGCCGCATTCCCGTTTAGGGAACCGGATTGAGGTCAAAGAACGCTCTTCTAACCCGCCTGGTGAGATTGATTTGAATTGTCGGAGTTCGAACGGGGAACGCACACTCTATACGGAGTACGGAGTATGCAGCATGGAATAAAGCCTCACTTCTCAAAACCAATAGCTTTTGGCTTGCGGGGGTTTCCAACATGGAGGGACGCGAGGCTTTAAGGCTTCACCGCGTAAAATACACACCAACAACTTCCGAATAGCTAGCAGATTGCCTCATTGGCCAGAATCTCATGTTTTCTTGCAGGCCCCAGGTTTCTCTCACGAGACAATGACAAAGGCTGGCACCTTGAGGACAAGAAGCTGAGGGTCACACTCAAAGCAGAGGGATTTCGTTGATCGGCCAGCCGCACCTCAAGAATCTAACAATTATTGCGATGGAATCCATGGATATAATTCGTCCATCGACGCTCTCTTAGCGACAGGGTCACAAAATTGGCAACCCAAGATATCGGGAAACAAAACAGCAAAAACCGATACCGGTGTTTTGTTGGAAGGCTTGTAGGAGAATCAATCGATATGCATGACTTTCTAGTTCTTTCTTTTTTCCTTTTTTCTTTTCCTTTTCCTTTTCCTTTTTCTTTTTATTTTTTTTTTATTTTTTTATTTGTTTTTTTGTTGGTCCTCTCGAATACTATTCCATACGCTAACGGAGATGAAGGACGGCAATACCAAGGGGTGAGAGCCACCCATGCAAGGTCAGCGAGAATGAAAATATTACGTCGGAATATTCTTGCGTGCAAATGACATTGTTTTATCATATATCATGGATAGAGATGTGGGAACAAAAGTAATAGCTGGTGCTGCTAGCGAGGTTACAGACGACCATGGGACTCGTGTTTGACAGGAGGAACCGTATATACGCCAATGAAATTGGTTCTTCCCGCCCCAGACCGCCGGATCCTCCAAACCATTAACTAAGCCTCTGCCTCGGCTCTCAAGCTCAACGAGCAACGGAGATTTACAGGTTTAGTTCATGATCGTTTCTTTGTCTCTTTGTCTCTGGCGGCGCACGTTTAAATTGATCGTCCACAGAGTCAACCAGTTACCAGACCTCAAAATTACGTACGACAATTCGAATGGTTTTGGTTTGCACCTCATGCATGACCGCGCAGTGTCAGGCTGTACGGAGTACTCTGATCCTTATTGGTATGTATTGTTCAGGAACAAAGAAAAGGCGCAATGCTAATCCCTCCAGTCAGGTCCAGGTAAGGCTGGAGTCCGGAAGATTAGGGATTGAAAATCATGTTCGAACAGGGACTTGTCCCACACCATTACCAGCTGATCAATCCCTTTTCGCGGTCAAATCCACCCCTGAGCTGCAAGCCGGGTTTCACAACTTTCCCCTGGAGCACAGTAAACTTCACAATCCCCTCGCAGTCTTCTGGCCTGACTCGTGCAAGCCAGATACCCTGAGACGCTCCCTCCTTTTCCATAGACTCAACGTTGTTCGAACAATCGTCTTTGCCTTCCTTAAACCATTCGAAATTCCGTCTTCGATACACTATGACGTTTGCTGAATATTTGTGCCCACCGACATGGCTGATGAAATAGATACCAACGCCACCAGGCCTCTCATCATGGAGGTCCCGATAAAGACCCAGCGGACGCAAGTGTCGCTCGAATTCTCGACGCAGCAGCGGGGCCGATTGACCACAGCGGGCATCTCGCGTCTTTTGAGAGCAAAGGAGTATGACAGCGGCGTGCGAGCAAGGGCGAGAGCGAAGAGACGTAGGGAGCGATTCGCTTAGATCTTTGAGATCGAGAGGCGGTCGTTCAGGTATGTTGGTATCAGAGGGGGTCTGTTCGGTGGGTTCTTCTTGCCCCGCTATCTGCATGACGTCTGACAAAGGAGTTGTAGTTGTCGGAGAAAGGTCGACGAATTGCCTGATCAAATTCGGCACCAGAGCAGGCGTTACATGGTCAATTATTGTAAATGCAGGTAGTAGGAGGACGGTTGTTGGTTGCTCGCCCTCGGGATGGTGATAATACTCATCCGGTACAGGAATGTTCGATGCGGACAATTTAAGCGCCTACAAAGCGCCTTTTATTAGACGCGCTTTATCCCTTAGTTAACGAAGGGGGTGGAAATGGGAATTTCATACTCCGTTCTTTGCACTAACTCCCCCTCTCTCAATTGCTTCCATCACACTCCCTTTCTCATCCGCAACGTCCCTCACCCAGTCTGTCTTCCCCGTGGCAACGAGCACATGCGTCGCCCACCCCTTCACATGTCCGTATAGTTCATCCTCATAGTCAACGCTAAACTTTGCAGGATACTTTATCGTGCAGGAGGCGCAGTCATGGTCGCAATCTTCGCCGTCAACGGTAGGGTCGACGACGGTGAAGAGTGTACTTGGAGATTGGGCGGTGATAACTTTTGAAGCTACAGCGGGCTTTCCGGTTGCAGGTACACTGGTGGCTTCATAATCGGAAACAGATGAAGGCGCCAGAGAGGCAGAAGGAGAAAGATACTCGAGTCCGCGACGGAAGATAGATGCCATTGTTTCAGAATAGTGTTTTAAATATTGGGGATTGACCAATTACTGCCTTATTTTTTAATCTATTTTCGATCCATATATTCTCAGAAAAGGTTCCAATTCCTTTAAATTTTTGTTCGGTTCGCAAGAAAGAATCCGAGGAAGAAAGGCTGAAGCGCGATAACGAAACCTTATCAGATCGGTTGACGAGGAAAAGAAGTCCGGCAAAGCTTTTAAAGTTATCTTATCTGATGGCGGGTAATTGAGTGAGCCCAACCTTGCCTGGCGGCTTAGTCAGAAACGCGGAATTCAAGCAAGCGCTGATTATCTGATCCGCCCATAATCGGGCTTTCGGCATCGGAACCCTGCCGGCATCCAATTCTAATTCAGGCTTGAGTTTGGAAAATGGTAGCAACTCCGTTCACTCCGGGATTTCATAATAGGTACGGAGTATGGGATACATGTTTCGTACTTTAGCAGGACATAAAACAGGTAAGACCTGGATACTTAGTCATAGGCTTATAGGCCTACCTAGGCCAAAGTAATCCAAACAAACAGGATGCACCAAAAATCTAAAGAAGATCCATCCGAGCCCTCATGATGTCACTTATTCCCAGCTTGTACTCACGCATACTGGTACCTTGGCACGACCCGTACCTCCAACCCCTGCAAAAAAGCATACGCACTCGGGATATACAGCGGCGTGCCCAGTTCCCTGTTTGATGCATTTTGATGGTATTGATGTGCTACCGCCGTAGTAGCCATTTTCTCGATAGAGAGCGCAATATTGGGATCAAACAAGCCACCCTTGGGCGAATCCTGTCGTGTTGACCGGTGACAAAAGGCACAATGGCAGCATCCTCTCCTGAAATCCGCCTCGCCATTCTCGATGACTACCAAGGCATTGCACCGCCGCATTTCCTACAACTGACTTCTCGAATCCAAATAACCAGCTATGACAACACCCTTAGTCCCTTTGACCCGTCTCAGAAGGCCGCTCTCATCGAACGACTCCACCCACATCACATAATCAGCACCATGCGCGAGCGCACCCCGTTTCCACGGGAGCTCATCACCGAGCTGCCAAATCTGCGATTTCTCTTGACCACAGGCACTCGAAATCGTTCGATCGATCTTGCCACGTGCGCTGAGAATGGGATTATGGTGGCTGGGACCACTGGAGGAGGCAAACACCAGGATATGAGCGCATTAGTTCCCCCCAGTTCTACGGTACAGCATGCTTGGGCGTTGATACTGGGGATAACCCGAAATATCGCAAGTGGTGACGCACTTTTAAAGGCTGGTGGCTGGCAGGAATCGGTTGCGACTGGCCTTTCAGGCAAAACTTTGGGATTGCTAGGCTTGGGCAACCTGGGTGCCGAGGCGGGAAAGATTGGCGTCTTAGGATTCAATATGAAGGTGATTGCTTGGTCAGAGAATCTGACTCAGGACATCGCTGATGCTCAAGCGCTTAAATTGGGCCTTCCCGTGGGGACGTTCCGAGTTGCATGGACTAAAGAAGAGCTGTTCCAGGCGGCTGATGTGTTAAGTGTGCACTATGTGTTGTCATCACGGAGCCAAGGGATCGTAGGTCGCAAAGAACTGGAGATGATGAAACCAACTGCCTTCTTTGTGAATACATCTCGTGGGCCGCTGGTTGATGAAGATGCATTGTTGGATGTTTTGAATGAAGGAAAGATAAGAGGGGCAGCTTTAGATGTGTTCAACATCGAGCCTTTGCCTCTGGATAGCGAATGGAGAACCACCCCGTGGGGTCAAGATGGGAGAAGCGATGTTTTGCTATCGCCACACATGGGCTATGTGGAAGAAGGCATTATGAATCGTTGGTATGAAGAACAGGCAGATAATGTTGAGCGATGGTTGGACGGTAATGAGGTGCTGACGAAGCTCTAAAATCCAAGTATGTAATTAGATCATTTAATGTCACAATAAGTCTAATTTAGAGATTGGGTTTTACCTGTCAACTATTCTCTTTGGAGTGTTTGTTTTGTTAAAAGCCAGTGTATTCCGTCTATCAAACAATACGGGGAATGCGTTCCCAGTGGAGCCAATTAGGCGGCCAGCATTCACGGCGCTGCTTCCGTAAAGTAGAAACGAATTGGATCTGCACAAATCTTCAAGAGATTCAAATAGATTTCGTGGATGGCGTCCGACTTTGACTTCGAAAACTCTGCCGATCAAACCCACCACGCAATCTAAAGCTCGCCTTCCCCGACGAACTAAAAGACGGAAACCGATAAGGCCCACTGACGGTTCGTCGAACTGAAGCAAAAGACAAAGATGACCCCGTATTTGAACCTGACCGTCCACTGAATGAAGCCATGTCATCAGAGCATCCTTCCATCCGCGCGCTAGCAACAATTTCCGGGTTCAGCATCGTCATGCCACGAAGAATCTCAGCAAACGTTCCCATCATGGCGCGAAACTCGGTCTCTGTCAGTGGATGTGATGAAAACCGGGATTTTTCGTAGAGTTTCAGGAAAGAATCCCCCAAATGCGGAGGATTAATCAGCCCCAACTCGTCCAAGTGATTCATATAATCCCGTAAACACATCGACAAAGGCCGTTGTAGAATTTTAACGATACGCCCATCCGGCGTGTGCTCGACATTTTCATGGGCATTCGAATAATCTAGACTTGGACCATGTTCCAACGGTAGGAATCTCGGATCGGTGGGAGCCAGAGACACGGCTTTTGCCTCGATCAAATGCGGCAATTCCTTGATAACGGGCTCAAACTCCTGCCCAGGTAAATCTTCACAATCCGGAGCAGTCCACCCCGGATGAGCCACGACCCCCCAAGGTGGTGGTCCGTCCACGGAAATAGTCAGACTTTGGTCTAACATGCTGTTATCTTCCCCTGACCGATCCCTCGGCCGGGCTTGCTGTGCGATAATGGCGCTTCTCGTCAGACCCTCGACAACGAGGCGACGCACATTTTTCTTCACATCAGGCTTCTCAACGGGAATCCATGCCTTGGGTATCCCGGCTATAATGCTGCGGTTGGTGAAGATGCGGCTGGCGTATATCAAGATGACGAGCAGAAGGGTGAATATGTAGACACTGGTGATGGCAAAGATATTACGGATCTGATGGTTCGTGTAAGACTGGTAGATAATATCTCCGGGTGTTAACAATGTAAGGACAAAGAGAATAACGGAAAGGATGGTGAAGGATGTAGTGTAGAAGAATCGATAGACGGGCGATTTGCCTGTCATGGTTGCGACGGGGTTGTTTCACGCCCTGTCTGATCGCCCAATCACCGAGACGCAGCGGCAAGCATGTTTGAGAATGCTTTAAGACGTGGTTACGCGGCCTCAGCTTGCCGTAGGAACGATGGCTCCGTCTTCACCCTGCCTACGATCATGGCCAGCTACCGTCGGTTGCGCTTCGTCGGGCGGCGGCAGAGGGAGGTCGTTGCTGAGTCAGCCGACGGCAGCCACGGACTCAGGGGCTGCGCAAAGTTAACTAGCAAGGCTGATCCTGACTTTACAATTGACTTTCTGTGCCCGCAACAATTCACGACACCTCTTCAAGCCAGATACTAATGTAGCTTCGCCGTTGGTCCCTTCGTAAGCTGCATCCACAGAAAGGGATGACATTAGTTACGAGAAGCAACATGGAAACTACCGATTCATTTGACTACAAGAGCTGCGTCGTGCTCTGGCTTGAGATGAATTCACGAGGCTTCATGGGGCCTGTAAATGTTATACACATGGGTGTAATCTCTCGAGATATGTCAACGATATGTCAAAATGGTTGAGGCAAAAGTAAAATCACAAGAATATCTATCTCCGCTTCCTAAATTATTTGCACATAGGGACGGGGTTGGGGAAATGTTAGAGGGAGGGGAACACCGCAAGAGGTGGGGCAACGCGTAGGGGAGGGGAACAAGGGACCAAAGCCAGAACCAGGAAGGAAAAATGTAGCAGGTAAGGGGGAATACATTAGAGTCATACGGTCATGTCTTAGATAAAACAGAGAACAGAAAATCGTAAACATCAAACTCCACAGACCCAAAACAGAGACGAAGCCATGGCCGGATTAGCCGCGAAGTTATAAGCTCACCAAGATCAGCCGCACATGATCTGATCCGAAAAAGATCCATAGATTCACCGTTGCGGCAGAGATGGGATGACTTATCATAAGCAAGGAACGAAGTTGATATGATATATATTGAGAATTTCTTGTCCCTTGAACGCATTGAAAAATATTATCGACTTGGGAATATAAACTGATGACCAGAGTTTTCAAAAGGTCATCGTTTCGCAGACCCCCGATCGCAATCGCGGTGGCACAAAGACAAACTTGCAAAGGGCAAAAGCCCGTTCGACGGTGTTGGCTAGCTCCGTATACGCCATGAATGCAGGGAATCAACGGGGACGAACAGTGTGCAAAACAACCACGGTCTAACTCAGTTCTCAACTGGCTGGCAGAACAGCTGGATCTCTCCAACCTGCCCATTTGCGAGCATATTCTGATGTTGCTCACGCCATTCCATAATCGCCAACTGGACAGCTTCGTCGCTGTCAATAGTAACAAAATCACCATCCTCATCCCGGTAGCGCAACCTTGCTGACTTGGCACCAATTGAACGCGTTGTGAATCGGGCGAGTTTCGCATCAACCCGGTCAGTCAAGGAACGATAAAGAATGTTGCTTGCAATCACTAGTGTAACATAGTTGTCATTAAAGTTAACCTTGGCTTTCAGTTGGGCTGGCATGATGTTCTCCACCTCTTGATTCAAGGAAAGGCTGGAAGGATTCGATGTCAGAGAAGGTTGCGAACGAAGAGTCTCACGGCCTTGCGCATATTGAGGCTCGGTAAAACCGGGACGCAACGACTGGGGTGGCGGCATTGTACCGGGGGAACTGCTTTGGCTTCGATTGATGGGGGTTCTCATGTTGGCAATATTCGCTGGAATGGGTGGAACGGGCACATTGTCCACTGTTTGCATTGTATGGCCATTCAGATGACGACGAGCCGAATCAGGGAGATTATGGTTATGAATATCGGGGCTACTGGCAGAGCGCATTCTGGATTGCGCGGGGTTTTGGGGGGTTTGAGACGATAGTGGAGGCAATGAAGGACGCTGGGTCACACGAGGAGGATTGCTGTAGTACGGAGAAGAGGTAGGCCCATCCCGTGACCCTGCTCTGGGCATTGCTGGAGCGGTATAACGATTGGAGTCTTCATTCCATTGGCTAGATGGAGTGCCTTGCCGAGAATAGGAAAATGTAGTCGATGAGCTTGACCTCGTGGACGATGGTATTTCAGCCACAGGGGAGAAATATGAGCCGGCGAGTCGCTCTCCAGGAGAGAGAGCTCCAGGAGAGAATTGTGTGTGGAGAGAAAGAGGTGGTTCGGGCATCGGGAACCGGGGCGGACGGGATACAGGTGGACCGGATCCTCCGCTGCCACCTGTCCCTGATCGAGCTCGAAGACTCGTACTGGACGCATTACGTGACATCGAGAGCTCCGAGACTGCAGGGGCCAGGTCTTCGTCTGCGTTATACTCTTCTGCATAAGGATTTTGCATCTTGGCATTCTTGAGATAGGTAAATTCTGTTTCGGAGGTACCACTGCGCGAAGTATTTCGTTCTTCAACTTGGAGAGCTCTTTGAGCATCGATATCTTTATACCACTTGCGCATAGTTTCCTCATCCCGGTATCGAATCGAGAAATTGTCCACAACACCGGGGTCGCCCTTCCAGAATATTTGAATCTTATAGGAGCCTAGAAGTTTCGCTTGTCAGGCGGTTGTTCGAATGTATGAGTAGATTACGTACCTGGCCGCTGAAGAGATAGTATCTCTGTCACATTTGCCATGTATATCCGGCCCTTTAGCTGAAGACGAGCTTTTCCTTTTTGAGTGTTCGGATTCGGTTTATCTTTGCCCATCAGCTTGGACTTTTGTTTATTCGGATTTATGTCTTTACAGCACAAAAGTATTCGTTGGAAAAGATAGATGTGGTACTGTATCGAATAAATCATTGCCGTTAGTCAGTGTCTCGCAGGTAAAACAACCGGGCATCAAGTAGGCTTCGTTTAGAAGAAAAAAAGAAAAAAGCACAGTTCAGGGAAAGTGCAATACAGCGAATGAAGTGGGTCACAGGTGGGAAGGACGGGTGAGCGATATGTAATCTTAGTAGAAATGAGATCGAAAAGCACAAAGGAAAGTAAAATCGACCTCGCTTCCTGTGCACTGCGGATTCACATGGTTGCCGGTCTCGAGTTGCAACTCGAAATTTCGCTCGTCAGACTATTAGTCCTGTTGGAGGCTAAGCCATCACTCGAGCTAGAATTTTTCTGGTATTCAGCAGTTGGTACTGCGCGTCCAGATACATGTCTTCCTTGGAGCCATTGCCTTGGTGATCGAGGCAACGGAAAGCCACGGACGACATTCACTCTTTTCCGGGAATCTCCTTGGGTTGTGGGATGAAGCATGAGAGTAGGTAAAAGCTCACTACTCCCTTTCGATATTGAAAACGCGGAAGAGAGAGACCTCCTTGCTCTTGAAGCGAAGGAAGGCCGTTCTATTGCATCTGACGCTGATGTGCTGGCGGACCTCTTTAAGACCTGCATTCTTCTCCCAAGAGTGAAAAATCTGATCCGTTTCGGAGTAAATAGTACCCTGGTATTGGGTCCAAGTTCAGAGGAAAGGTTCGAGGTAGGAACCCAGGCTTTCCATGGATCGTGTGTGAATAGCCTTATTGCTGGGCTTCCTAGGGGTATAATCATTCGGTAGGGCAGGTTCGGGTCCAAAGGAATCCTTAGGCGTAACTCCAATGACTTGGACATTCCACGACGCTTTCTCCAGGGCCAGAAATCTTTAAATCGAAGGGCACTGAAATATATACGAACCTCTCTTTCCGAGTCCTTTCCAGCATCACCCTTTATTACTATGAAGGTTCCAAAACGGAGCAATTCGCCGAACGCTTCGACTCGAAGAGCTTTCCAATCATCCACCCTGTTGGTCAAATCCTGAACCGCGGCGGCCAGGTGCTCTTTATCGATAGCGCTATTCGCACGATCCAGGACTAGTTGAATGATGTCGATGGCAGTAGTGATATCGGCGCTGAGATCTTCTCGATCTGTCTGCTTTTTCAATTCCTGCGAAATTATTAGCCAGTTAGTATTGTCGACACTCACACGCAGGAGCATCCTTACCATGAGCATTAGAGGATACTTGGTCAGGCGCTGAAACGGCTTTACGAAGAAGCCGTTTAAGGTTGACAGCTGGGCCACCATCTGCTGAAGATCAAGAGATCGTGGAGCTGCGTGGATCTTATCCCACTCACGCAAACAAACGGCATCGCAGCGAAGTTGGTTGGCGATGAAAGGCTCATATTGCCGGAAACCTTCCTGGTGATTAATGAACAGCTCACCCCAGTTCTGAGATTCTTCCGGAAGTGCATTATGCTGCTCCATCCGGATAAGGAACCTCTGCGCGAAGTCAAGTAGATTGTTTAAGTTGAGAAAAATTTGGTGGCTTGAGTCGCCATTCAGGGCACCGGTCTCTTCGAGCTCCTTTTTAAGGGCCTGTAGATTTTGCAAATGATGGACGTAATCCCTTTCAGTCTCCAGCATTTCTTTAAGGATATGTTCTCGTCGCGTAAGCTTGGTTCTTTGTTGCTCAACGGGACCGGAATTTGTAGGCGATGGCTTATAAAGTTGACCTTGCATTTCGAGGATATCCAGGACACGATTAACCATTTTAATAACCTTAATAGACAGTTAGTAAGTACATCCTCGAGTCAGGGTTTCTATAAAATTAACTACCTTAACGAAGCCGGTGGTATTCTCGCCATAGAGATCGGTTATGAGGAAGCATTCCTGCTGAGGGAACTCCAGGTCTTGCAAGCAGGCTTGAAGGAACTTGAAGGCTGCGGCTTTCGGTCTTCGGTGTTCTTGAACCTTACTCTCGTCCAATGTTAATGGCTCAGCAGGTTGAGTAGCGTTGAAGATGGTCATCAACGGATATCCATTCTGCAAACACCTCCATACAGACGCCACGGGATCACTGATTTCCTGAGTTTTATCTAGGGCCTCCATCTCTGCCAGATGCGGCTCAAAACCAGGGACTTCTGCGAGTCTCTTCTTCAGGTGGGCGCAGCTCTGATACAGTGACTCGCCCCCTCGGCGATTAATGATATTATCTTCGGCCATGACATGGCCCGGGCTTATCACCGGCTCCATCTTGGTGCGATAGGACGTTCACAGACCGGATAGACGATATCGAAACGGTTCAAGCTTCGGGGACTATTCCTGGCCAGGATTCCCGGTCTGTCACAGCAACCACGAGCATGAGTCTGCGAGATTTCGACAATGGACAAGAGGAGAGAGCTCGAGGTGGGCCGGTGAGAGACGGGACGAGGGGCAAAGAAGGACCAAAAAAAGAGAAAAAAAAAAAGAAAAAAGGAGCGAATGATAAGGACGAGCTCTTTGAGGAATGTGGTTAGCAAGCGGATCACATTGAAATCCGGGATGGGCCCTACCCCGACAGGTGCTGTGGTAAGTTGAATTTATAAACTGGAGATGTCTGGTGCGGTGCAAAGGAAGGGATGGGATGTTCTGGAACCTTTGAGACAAGCGCTTGGTGATAACGCGTGAGGCGGCCAAAAAAAAATGAGGCTTTTGTGGGGGGAGCTGTAATCCCAAGGAGCTTTTGGAACGACTCAAAAGTCAAGGACGGCGGGCCAGAGATGGGCAGAGGGCTGGGTCAAAAGACAGAACAGAAAGGATCAAGCGATGCAACACACGGCCAGGAGGGAGTCTGGGGGAAGACGGCAATGGAGGGAGGCCAGCGTGCGAGTGTTGGTTGGGCTGTTTCAGGAGGTTGACTGAGCATGTCACGGAGCAGCGCTGCGCTCACCTTTTTCCCGCGCCAAACCCCTTTCGGCCTACCGTTACAGTTGGCCCCGTCTGCGCTAGGCCTAACACAGCTAGCCCGTACCGTCCCAGCAAAGCGCTCGCTTATGTCATCGCCACCGGCCCTGAGCTTTTCACCGGGCGGCGGGCAGCGGGGGCGCTGGCGGGCGTTGTTTGGCGCGGGCTGGACCAGGCTGGCTGGGAGTTGGGGGCTGGGGAACTGGAAGCTGGGAGAAAAAACCTACACATCCAGGCCGGGCACAGCGACACTGTTGTGTCTCGCTGCATCCGAACCCTCCTGGCAGACCTTTTGCGCCGCATGAAACACCCTAAGCACCGCAATCCCGGTGCTGCGTTGGGCCTCTCCCCGTGTCTGGGCGATGACAAGCAACTGGATTACCTAAGACATCGAACGGAGGCCTGCGACGACGACCAGTCGAGCTTCGTCGGCATCCTTGCCCATGCTGGTTGCCCAACGGGTTAATTTAAAACACCTTTAATATTACTTTTGGATACCTTGGATGTTTTCTTCGGCCTGGATCGCTGTCTCCCATCCGTCCTACATCCTGCTGGCGTTGCTCTGAAGCCTCGAGAGGTTGTCAAAGTTGGCCGAAGCGACTTGTTGACATTATTTGGTAGCCTTGAGGGAGCGAGTGAGTGGCAGAATCCCGCCAATGCCTGCGACGGCTTCTCCCGGCCTTTGACATTGCCCACGCCCTTGGCTCCCGTGTTGTTTGTTGCCGCCTGCGTTTGTTGCATCGTCACCCTCATCCCGCTACTTGCCGCCGCTTCGTGAAGTCGCGATGGACCACGACCCAACGGACCCGGCCGGCGCGCCGCCTCTGGGAAAGCTGCAATCGGACAAATATAAAGGAGGGCTTGGAGCTCCATCGAATTCATTCAGGCTTGATGAGGGGTATTCCGATGAGACCAAAAGCGAAGCGGGCAATGACGGGCCTTTGGGGAATGGATTCGCACTCCCTCCATGGTTACTCTCCCATACGGAGCCTGTCAGAGCAGGTACCGTACACACATCCTATTTAAGCCCTTCGCTTTAATGTCTCGATGAAAGACCTAACCTTTGTTCCAGATCTGGCTTTCGCCCTTCTAAGCACCCTGCGGACCTCTACAATCGCGAACATCGTCGAGAGACTCACTCCGCTTCTTCATATGGACCCGGTGCAAAAACTCCCCCCGGAAATAACCGCCGAGATATTCTCGTATCTCGATCCAACCACCTTACTTACTGCTTCTCTTGCCTCCAGAGCTTGGAGAGACAGAATCCAGGACTCGCTGCTATGGAGAAAGCTATATTTACAGGAAGGGTGGAAAGTGAACATGGAGGAAGTCCGAACTTTCCAACGACAACGCGCCGAGTCGATGCAATCGGCCTTGAGAAAAGTCCGGATGAGGCGATCGGATACGGAGTTTGGGCAGCCGCTCCAGAAGAGACGAGTTTTACCAGGTCGCACCAATTCGACTGGCTCGAGTGTGAGTATGGTGGAAGGCGATGCGTCGAATTCTGCGATGTGCCGTCCTGCCGATGCCGGGGGGGACTATGAAATGCAGGACGTTGGTAATATCGATAACTCCGCGGGGTGTCCCCCACTTGATCGAGATTTACCGTTAACCCCTTACAAAGAAGCGTTTTTATCCCCAGCTTTGTGTGCAGACGACCCCACAAGACTGAATTGGGTATATTTGTACAGGCAACGGCGTATATTGGAAGATAACTGGCTCAATGGTCGCTTTAAGAACTTCCAGCTACCACATCCGCTATACCCTTGGGAAGCCCATCGTGAATGTATCTACGCAATCCAATTCAGCGGAAACTGGCTGGTGAGTAGCAGTCGAGACAGGACTATAAGAATTTGGAATCTAGAAACAAGAAGGCTCAGATATCCTCCTCTGCTGGGACACAAAGGCTCAGTGCTTTGCTTGCAGTTTGACGCCAGCGAAGAAGAGGATATCATTATCTCTGGTAGCAGTGACCGAAATGTGATCATTTGGCGTTTCTCTACTGGAGAAAAATTGCAAGTCCTGAGCAACGCACATCTTGATTCTGTGCTAAGTTTGCGTTTTGACAAACGATATTTGGTAACCTGCTCAAAAGACAAACTTATTAAGGTTTGGAACCGCCAGGAGTTGAGTCCTTCGGATGAGGATTATCCCAAATATTTCACGGGCGTCGGGGTGCGGTATCCGCCTTATATCGTGGATACCTCGAGCATGTCTCCGTCGACCCTAGAGGCCCAAATTGCAAATGAACACATCAAGAGTCTACAGCCATACTCCTTGCTGATGACGCTTGACGGACATGGAGCTGCGGTAAATTCGATTCAGATCGACAAGAACGAGATCGTTTCAGCGTCCGGGGACCGCCTTATCAAAGTATGGGATATTCACAGCGGGTCTTGCTTGAAAACCCTGGTTGGTCACCAAAAGGGAATCGCGTGCGTTCAGTTTGACAGTAAACGAATAATAAGTGGCAGCAATGACCTTACTGTGCGGATATACGATCATGCTTCCGGTGCAGAAGTAGCCTGTCTCCTGGCTCATGAGGACCTTGTCAGAACTCTTCAAGCAGGATTTGGCGATCCCCCTGGCTCTGAAGAGACAATGAGGCTGGAAGCCATGGCAGTTGACCATGATTACTGGGAAGCTCAACGTCGTGGTGATATTCGTCATGAAACTGGTCGACGGCGGGTTAGCCGGATGCGAAGCACAGGGTCAAGACGGCCACAAGACATCATGGCTTTGGGGGCGAAGATTCCCCCGGGAGGTGGTGGGAGTAGGTGGGCCCGAATCGTGTCTGGCTCTTACGACGAAACAATTATCATCTGGAAAAGAGATAAAGAAGGTAAATGGGTAGTTGGACAACGATTGCGACAAACAGATGCAGCGCGAGCATCGTCCGCCATTGACGATTCTATGGCTACCGAGTTCCTCACTCAAACCTTTGGAGCGAACTTACCGGGAATCCATAGGCACCTTCAGGCCGCAACTCATCATCCCCAAAGTAATGCTTTCGCTGGTCCTTCACAGAGCGCCGCCGCTGTTGCTCCCTCCTCAGCACAAGCTGGTGCCAGTTCATCGATACCTCAACCGAGCATCACTGCCCAAAATGCCTTTGCCAATCAGCTACTACAACCACACTCCCAACCTCAGTCGTCTGCCCAAGTTTCGCCAAATGCCCAACAAGCTCCCATCCCGATTCCACAAAATCAGGCCACGCAAATCCCAACTACTGGCCAAGTACAACCAACAGCTCTACAACCACAGCCTCATCAACCTCAACCTCAACCTCAACATCCCGCCCTCCAACCCCCGGTTGGTCCGCACCCTACCGCCCCTACACAGACCAATAATCCGGGGCAAGTTCCCCCCCACCATCATGCAACTGCACGGATTTTTAAGCTACAATTCGACGCGCGAAAATTAATTTGCGCAAGCCAGGACCATGTCATTGTCGGATGGGACTTTGCAAATGGCGACAAATACCTAGAGGAGGTGTGTCGATTCTTCGAGAGCCTGTGAGCAAACGCTCCAGAGCGGTAAAAATATGAGTGGGCTAACAACAATAAAACAACTTTCTTACTTTTGGTGTTTTTCCCCACTGGGCTGGGTTTGGTATCGTTGGTGCCTTTTGGGGGGGGGGGGGGGGGGGGGGGCCTATTTCACCTTTCACATTGAGATAGAGTCCTTTCAAGCTTGCATATGAACACCAGTTAATGGAGATACGCTTCCAGCCATTTTGAACCGATCCCCAGGTTGATGAATATACCACCTGCCTACCTTACGTTGAAAGCAAAGAGCGCTTGAAGATTGGCGGCAATAACCCACGCATCGCGTATTGACAGATGTGTAGGATTTATTGCTCTTGGGACTTGCTTTGTACCTCACATCTACTTTGTCTCGTTCAAATTTTTTTTTTTTTCTTTCGGCAGCTACCTGTATTATGCCCTTGCATCGTTTTGCCCGGCATTTTTAGGATTTTGATGTTTCGCATGTTATCATTAGCAACTGTTGATACTTTACATTATGATGGCAGCTTGATGACCAGCGCCGAACATAGCACAGAATATTGCACTCATACATACATACCAAAATTCGGGCTCTCCGAGCGCTTTTATGATCTTAAAATTGCAAGTGGAAACAGGATAATAGGAAAGAAAAAGATTTTAAAAAAAGGGATAAAAGAAAAGAAAACAAAAGAATAGTGTCTATTTTCTGCTATGGAGCTGATCGATTCCATCCACGGTCTTGAACTCTGCTTCTCTAAATAAATGCTTCTCATCTCAAATTCCGCGCCGCTGGCCAAGCAAAAGGGTGCAACTCGCCAAACCACCAGCCCAGTCCTCAAAAAGTGAGTATAAAGACATGGCTAGTTCACCTAGAGCTAGCGGGCCGATAGCCCCAAGCCGGAATCCATGGCTGAGACGCTTTCTTTCCACGCCTCCAAAACTCCCTAAAATTCAAGCAACTTTGGCGCTCCATCCGATCATCAGCTTCCTGCCCTAAGCTGAGTCTTATACCTTCATTCAGGTGATGGATGAACCACAGTCCGCAACATTCTGCAGCGAGGGTAACAAATGAAAGGTATTCCCAGGACTTGTGACTATTAGCAACGGGAGGGGCAGCCGAGAAGCCCACAGGATGGGGAATTGTGCTACCCGAAACCGATTGAAAAGGTAATGTAGACTCTTCACGAGAATTGCCGGTAGCAGCTGCCACAGTGCACGCCATGCCAGAGCTTGTACTGGGCGGCGATGTTTCAACCCTAGGGGCGGGCGCAACCAGAGGAGGGTGTCTGATGTATGAAGGAAGAGGAACTGATGTGGTATCAACTGGGCCTGTACCGTCGACAAAATGAACTCTACGAGGAGCAAGAGAACCACTACCACTGCTCGGTTTAGAAGCGGAGGATAAGCGTAGCGAAAAAGCCCCGGGAGTGGTCTGTGGAGGAGTAGCAGCCGCATTGTTGCAACAAAGAGATCCCTGCCTTCGACCCTGATTGACTGAACCATTGTCTTTGGTATCCCGAATGCATGCAGCAGGTGATGGTTCGCGAGAAAACGGGTGATTCTCTAAGCATCCCGCGCCCACACCATGCCCGCTTTGACGAATGCCAAAACGCCCCCGAACGAGAGTTCCATCGTCCGCACGCGCAATTGCTCCCGCTGGCAACCCCGGTACGCGCGACGGGGAAGACGAAGATAGAGCAAGGAATCGCGGCAATCCAAAGAAGCAGCACGTACAATCCTCCACCTCAACATCATTTCCGGACCCTGGAGTGGTCTGGGACGAAAGACGATACCGAACGGCCTCCGGCGTTCCAAACGACGGAAGCCCTGGCGGTGTAACACTCCGAATGGGGGGAGGGTATATGGGCTCCAGAGGTTGAACGGGAGAAAAACGCTCACTGAGCCGGGGCTGTTCAGAAAAGCTTCCATAGGAGGACGATAATCGACTGGATCGACGAAGGTAAGCAGGGAGAGAAGAAAACGGAAATTTAGGACGAAAAGAAGGAATATCGAGATCGTCTAGAGAGTAGACTTTATCTCCGTATCGATTTCCGAGCACCGACGCACCAAAAGACAACCGTGACCTGAAAGAAACGCCAGTGGACAAGAGCAGCTCCCTGGATAGCGGTGAGGCAGAGCTTTGGAGCGTAGAGAAACTCGGATGTTCGCTGATGGGATCAAGGACATGAGGCCGCCATCCACTGTGAGTTACGGATCGATACACCCCTCTCCTTTTTCCACCAGCGACACCGGGCTGCCATCGTCCGAAGCTGTCCTCCTTTTCTCGCTTTTGATCCTCATGGGTTGGTTCATCGTCATCGCACCCATCCAAACTGGTCAGAAAACCATAATGGAGAGAGCTATGTTCGCTAGGGACAGACTCTGATGAGTCCAAGTGTGCGTTGACCCCTCGAATGGACACAGTCCGGCGCAGTCTACTTCGAGTAGGGCCTGTACCTTCAGCGAAAGACTGGGATCGCGAATGATCGGCCGTGAAGCCTCCATTTCTAACGAATGGTGGCCCTCTCGGCGCTGCAGACGCCATTGATTCCTACTAGGTGGTGGGATAAACGAGTGGGACCCCGTTATTGCAAGGGGCAAGAAAGTCATGGAGATCTTTTGGGTGTGAAGAGATCGAGTCCGGACAAATAGGGAGTGATCAGTATGTATTAATGCGAGCTGATTACGTTCCAGGCGGAAAGCACAAGAGGCCCTTGAGGCAAGCATTCAAGGCAAAAAGCCCAGCAACAAGGAAAGCATGATGACGCTCCAGCAATGAGAAGACCTGCACGCCCAAACACCAGCCAAGATGCAGCCATTTTGATCTCTAAACCCGTCAGTCTTGACACATGAATCGCGGTCCATATATACCCTACTTTGCCTTATATATCAATACAACCATGCAACCATGCAACCAGACAGTATGCCATGCCACATTGCTGTGCAAGCTAAACTCAAAATTATGGGGACGAAGACAACTGCATGTAACGATGGAGAGAGCGGACACAAGCAATCAGGACGCGACGGTGCTCTGGCTTAAGTTCGACTTGCCAGCAGCCTGCTGTTCCTTCTTCAGGGTTCGAATCAGAGCCTCAAGTCTGCGTCGTTCTTCCTGTTCAGCCTAGAAGCAAGAAGAAAGTCATCAGTATAATAGCCTTCGAAACACCGAGTGGCTAGTGATGTCTCTACCTTTAGGGCCTTTAGATTTTCCATCCTCGTATCTCGCATCATCTTCTTGAATTCATTCTTCAACACCATCATCGACGTCGTCTCCGTTGGCGTTCCGTCTCCCCGTCGGATACCATTGGCCCCCAACGCCTGGATCCGTTCGTCACCCAGCTGCATCTCGAGAGTCTCACATCGATCCCGATAAGAATCTATTATGTTCTCGAGCTTATCTCGCTCCTTTTCGAACTCGATGCTGGCTTTGGTCAACACTTCGTAGTCGTCAATTGTTTCACGAAGCTCCTTTTCCAGCACCTGCACACGTTCCTGGAGTTCAGATGAACCAACGTTACTTTTGCTGGTCTGCTGAGTCTTGAGAGCGGCCAGCTCTTCGGTAAGACTCATATTACGCTCGTTCAAGTCGTCCATCTCTTTTTGGATTGCCGGGTTCGCCGCAACCTGCGCAGCGCGCTCGGCCCGGCTTCCATAAGCACCGTCAAGCTCGGCACGGGCAACGGTAAGCTCCGTTTGTATCCGAACCATTTCACTCTCAAGCTCAGAATATTCAGACTGAAGCTTCCGCAGCTGTTGTTGGGAGTCGTCGATAGTTTCACGAGCATTTGCAATTTCGAGGTCTTTCTCGGATTGCAATTGTTGGAGGCTAATCTGGAGATCGGCGATTTGGCCATCTTTGACAGTTTGATCTTGTTCAGCAGAGTCCAGGTCCGCCTTGGCTCTGTGTCTGTACTCTTCCAGGCTGACAATTTGACCTTCTTTCGCGGCTAAATCTTGTACAGCCTTCTCGAGTTCTTGTGCCAGCTTCTGCCGAGTTTCCTCGAGAGTAGCAATTTCGATTTCCTTCAAGGCTAATTCCTGTTCAACCGCCTGTCGTGCTTCTTCCAAATCGGCAATCTGGCTCTCCTTTAGCGCCAGAGCTTGTTCGGCCTTTTGTCGAGCTTCCTTTTCTACCTTTACAGCTGACGAATCGTTTGATTGCCGCTGTTCCCGAATCATCGATTCTTGGCGAGCGGCATCGAGCTGGTCCATGACCATAGTGAGCTCCTCTCGCATATCGCTAGCCTCTTTCTTCGAACGATCCAGCTCCTTTCTCAACTTCACAATCTGTTCAGTAAGATCCGCAATATGGGCGTCGCGCTCCGCATCGGATTTACAATTAAGTTCTCTCTGCTGTTGGATTTGGGTTGTGAGGATCGTCTTCTGTTCAATAAGGTTTCCGATGCGTCCTTCAACATCTTCGATCGCTTGTCCAAGATAAACAAGCTGCTCTACGAGAGTTTTCCTAAACGTTGAGGTGCGTGGGGTAAGCTGAGGTCGCGTGGAACCAGCCGTAACGAGAATCCCATCGAGTCGTTTGTTGAATATGTCCAGTTTCTCTTCCGCATCGGACAACGAGCCTTCCACTCCGTTGAGAATATTTGACTGCTGAAAAGCCATCGATTCCAAACCTTTGTCTAGGGTGTCTAGACTGGTTTGTACGGCGATCACCGGATCCGCGGGCGTTCCGGTGGCATTACCCTGGAAAAGAGGATCAATGTCCTGGTTCGGATTTGCTTGCATTATCATCTCCCGTAGACGAAAGTTCAGATCATCTAATCTTCTTTTGGTTTCGTGCAGTGCGACTAGACTCACGGAATTTCGTTCGCCGGCGATCATGGTGGGAAGGTCACGTCGAGTGTGGCCCACGTTAAAATCGTCCAGATATTCGGGGGTCCTGTAGAGGCTGCGCTCATCGAACTCAACGATATCGCCGTTCCTTTCCACGCGAGTTGCACCTTTTTTCTTAAGACCTTTGTGCGTCATTTGTAGGACCCCGGCGGTATGCTCTAGTATTCTCCTTCGGATCTCACTAGCCCTCCTTTCCAGCTTCCAAAGTTCCTGAGCGACATCTTCACATCGACGCGCACTGAGGGCAAATTCTTCTTCGGACTTGTGTTGGAAGCTATGGCGGCCGAACAGCGTTATTCGTCTACGGTGCGACTTGGGCGAAGACTCTGGGCTTGTGTCCGAGCTGTCTCTTCTCCCGCCCTTTGAATCATACAGTCTACCTAGAGAGAGAGCGGCCTCCTGCAATTTTAGCTCCAAGGTCAATTTCCGCTTTGAGGCCTCGATGCGATTCGACAGGAGGAGCAATTCCTTTTTCAACTCTTCCACCTCTTCGAAGGATAGCACCTCGAAGTGCATACTGTCAGTTATAGCTATTTCCGCAAGTAGATGCATTGCGACGGGATCGTTGGCATTGAGTAGAACAGAGCTTCGTGGGTGCGAGTAATTGAGCTGACCGGACGAAGAGATATGGTCAGCGCATCCTACGTGCGCTGCACAAGTTAATAAAGGACTTACAGGATTGTATCTTGGGTTCTCATCTTCGTTCGAGTCTAGGACATTTCTATATCCATCAACCAGAGCCTTTGGCGAAGGAGGTGGCAGTACTGGAGCCGAAGGTGAGAAGTATCGAGGGTCCTGATAGGAGGACTGACTCGATCGGGAGTTGGTGACATTCATGTTTGCGAGTGAAGAAGGGGGGAAACAATGGAAAAGAAAACGAAAATACTAAAATGCTAGCGGGGTACGGAGTACAGCTGGAGCTATTATTTCCCACACAAGATGTGCATCATTCTTTTGCCCGTGCAAGGTATTTTTCCATGACGATGACGATGAGAAGGCTGGTGGTGGTGGTTAATTTAAAAAGGGGGGTGGTTAATTTTCTTTTTGTTTTCTTGCCCTCGAAGGACCACCAGGTGCTAAGATGCAAATTGGGAAGAAATGGTGGATTGGATGTGCCTTGCGGCCGTCAAAACCGAGATATATGCACGTTGCGAGCACGGTCAACCGAGTGACGGAGATCCGCCACCCCTGTACAGCCCCTTGTCCAGCTGCGCGAGAGTTGGTGATGCGCGGACGAGCTGGCTGCAGAGCGCGAGATCCATGGGACGCACCATGGAGTGCTTATATAAGACTGCACAGCCGGAGAAATAATATTGCCGCTGTGGCGACGCTAATGCCGCATCAGGGATAATGCGAACCTTAAGTGCCTGCGCCAAACCTTAACTGGCAACCAGCAGGCGCAGCACTGAGGCGCAGAAAAAGCAAAACTAAAACGAAACAGCAAAACGAAGCAAAGCAGAACGATGCGCTGCACGGCACGTCTGGGTGAGGACGAGGATGCACCTAGTCGCGTGCACGCAGTCTTGAGTCCAGAAGTATAGTGGTTCACCGTCGAGGTATATATATCGTCGGCCGTGTGCCTCGTGTCCTGACCCGGTGCCATGAACGAAACGGTTCCGTTGGGACACGAGATTCAGCCTTCCAACCTTCAGGGCTCCAATCAGGGTCCGGGCACGGCCAATCGTCACGGTAAGCTCGTCGAGCTTGGGATGGCGTGGGAGCAATTTACTGGATGTGTCTCAAGCCCCCAAAGGCCACATGGAGGCCCCTCGGCAAGCTTGTCACTCCCTGTGGAGTCCATCCTCTTGCGTGATCGGCCGTTTGAGTTCTGCCAAATGTCCATGCCCGCCAGAGAACTCGACAACTACGGAGTACGGCGAGCCATATGTAGCTATCGGATGGATGTGCAGTTGTCCCACGGATCCACACCCCGCAGACCGTGGGGAGATCGGGCAGGTCAATAAGCTCGGGGGAGAGATGCTACCTTCCACTTAATAAAGCTTGCCCATCTGACCGAGTCTTTGGTTTCTGCTCCACGATAGAACCTAGTTGTCCGCCATCTTTCCCAAGGTAGCAAATGCGGAATGGGCCCTGGAAATCAGAAGGTCAACAGTTCCTAACATCCAATTGAGCCTTAATGCTGTTACCGGGAGCGTGGCAGCCCTGGTAGCATAGGATGGCATGCAAATTTGTCAGGTCCTTTTCCTAGTCTGAATATTTTAGTCTATAGGATCAATGAGCAATAAGTATTATTTCCCCGGGCTGAAATCCATCAAACCGAGCATGTTCTCCGTGCACCATATATATATGGTGTGCATTATGTAGTTCTCCGCCATATGTATGTGCACATTGTCAGCGGTCATGAAGCCGGACTGTTGTCAATTTCCCGATGATCGCACAGACTAGCTTGTTTTCGAAGTTCCGGAGCGCGTTCACATGTCGAGAGACGGGTTAGATACTCGGGCCATTGAGCAGTGGTCTGCAACCAACAAAGCCGTTAGCGTAGGATCCTCCACGTTACACCAAAATCTGGGGTACTCTAGACATTCCTCAACGAAACATGCTCAACACCCTCTCCTCCAACGTTACCGCCCTTCGCATGCCATGGGTGATGACAACATGGACATGAGCAACGTAAAGATTGGCCCAGACTCCCACGACATGAAGCTACCCAGGGACCCGGACGGCGTGACCATTCCCGCAGTTTCGCTCACCCACGATGAAGGAGGATATAAGGTGTATAAGCGGCGCTTTTTCGGCCTCGCACAACTGGTCTTGCTGAATGTTGTCGTTAGTTGGGACGTATGTTTTCCTCCAGGACCAACTCTCTCACCCTCCCGCGGTCCGCGTGGGTACATTCCGCGTTGAATGACGGCGCATCGGTTCCAAGGCTGACGCGCTACAGTGGCTCACGTTTTCTGCCGTCTCCAAGACCTCGTCCGAGTATTTTGACGTCTCTGAAGCAGCAATCAACTGGCTCAGCACTGGGTTCCTTTTCGCTTTCTGCGTTGCAAGCCCGTGAGTAGAAGCTATTTCGCCCCGATTGGCAACCCCCTTACGTGGTCGACAGATGAGCTGACCAACACACTCTGCGCACACGTAAAGTGCTGTGATATGGACTCTGAACAAAGGAGGACCCAAGCCTTCGATCGTTGCGTGCGCTGCTTTGCTCCTCGTCGGCAACTGGGTCCGCTATGCAGGGACAAAGGCAAAAGATGGGATCTTCGGCGTGACCATGTTCGGCCAGGTCCTCATTGGATTTGCTCAACCTTTTGTCCTGACCGCCCCGACCAGATACAGCGATGCGTGGTTCAGTGATCGCGGGCGAACCAGCGCGACTGCAGTTGCAACTCTGGCGAATCCCTTGGGCGGTGCGTTGGGTCAGTTGATCGGCCCAATGTGGGCGACGAAGCCTAGTGAAATACCAAACATGGTGCTTTACGTTGCGATAATCGTAAGTTCATATATAATACGCCGTTCATGCTGATTTAGACTTATATCTAAAACAAAGACCTTCTGTCTCAGTCAACCGTGGCATGCATCCCTTCGTTCTTCATCCCTTCTCTGCCTCCCACGCCACCGAGCGCCGCTTTCAATGTAACCCGCATCCCGCTTACCCAAAGCCACTGCAACCTCTTCCGTACTCTCGAGTTCTGGCTCATCTTCTTCCCCTTCGGAATCTACGTCGGCCTGTTCAACAGCATTTCCTCCCTCCTCAACCAAATCCTCGAGCCACATGGTTTCTCCGAAACCGACGCGGGAATTACCGGCGCTCTGTTAATCTTTGTCGGCCTAGCCGCAGCTGCAATATGCTCGCCCGTCACAGACAAACACAAACACCATCTAGGTACTATTAAGGTTCTCATACCCATCGTCGCAGCCACATACATCGGGTTTGTCTTCGCCCCAGAAGCGCCCAGCGTCGCAGGACCTTTCGTCGTCGCCGCCATCCTGGGTGCAGCAAGCTTCGCTATTCTACCCGTAATCCTCGAGTACCTCGTTGAAATCACGTATCCCATGTCCCCCGAGATCCCCAGCACGCTGTGCTGGGTCGGCGGGCAGATTTTCGGCGCGGTGTTCATCCTCGTGGAGAACGCGCTCAAGGCTGGGCCGGACGCGGATCCACCTAGGAATATGAAGAATGCGCTTATTTTTCAGGCGGTCATGGCTTCCGTGGTCATTCCGGCGCCATTGTGTCTGGGCTTGTTTGGTAGGGAGGTGAGGAAACGGAGATTGGAGGCTGAAGAGCAGGGAAGGGACCGAGGCGGAGCTGGAGATGAGCTTACCCCTGAAGACACGAATGGTAATAATAATAAATAATAAGAATGCGAAGGCGATTGGTATGTAATTGCCCAAGTGCGGTACAATGCCCTTTCATTCTCCCTTCCATCTAGAGATCAGGTAACGTTTCCTTTCATATAGTTACCTTTATCTATTTTACATTTCCATCCACCAATATTAAGCAGAACTTTCACCATCTCTTTTGGCAAAGATGTATGTATGTAACTACATCTGCTACCTTACAATGTTAGGCACAAGTAGAGCTTATTATTTAATCAACATAAACATCTCAACCCATTGTTTCTCTGATCAGCTGGGGTGCTCGTGTCTCAGAAGCAACCCACCTACACAGGATGCACAGTCCGGTCCGGAGCATGCAAGTAAAGTAGCAATCCATTTTCAAACCAAGGATGATACATGATGTTAAACCAGCCAAAAAAAAACCACTATGCTCCCCCCTGCTCTGGCAGTATGCTTGGAAGTAACATCTTTAATTCGGAAATAGAGTTGACAGAAAAGATGAGCCACCATTCCATGCTGCAATTTTTTTTTTTTTTTTTACATCTGTACATAATTTGGGAGAGTCTAGGCGGAATTGAAAACAAAAATGATGAAATGCCAAAAAAAAGGGCAAGGGAAATCAAAGAAAGAAGACAAGACTTCTAAAAAGATACATATCATGCACGTACACATCACACTCCACTTGATAGATACACACGCAAAAGAGGCCGGGCTAAACAAGGAGGCAGTGAGCCCGTTGCGGAATTTGGCATTATTCGTATTGATATCTCTCTTTTTCTAATTTTTCTTTTCATTGGCTCCAGTTGTATACACTTTCATCTTCTCTCATCAGTCCATCTTGAAAATATTGAGGCGTTGGGTTCATATCCAACTTCTGTTCGCGAACCCTCACCGTTGCGATTCGGGGATAATTCGCAAAAACGGAAAGTAATCCTCTAGGTGAGTTGCTCGAATATTTCCGGGATGGACGGAAGGGAGGAAGGTAGATGGACCGTAGGTGGATATCTATTTGAGGGCGGCCCAGAGCTTGGGGGCTGCGCACTGGGTTGCGCAGTGCTGGAGATGGAAGACTATGTGTCGTTAGTTCACCGTAGAGATGCGCATAGTTAATGGGGTCCGCGATATTGAAATTCGAGTGACCCGCCGCCCAGAAATGAACCTTTGACGTATTTTAAGATAGCAAGGCCAGTTCGACGACGGGCGAGAACCGAGGACCAGGGACATAAACTTACACTCCTCGACGCAGTCTTCATGGGGTCCCTTGAAGTCAGGATCCTCGGCATTCCGGGTAACCCGCTCAACGCACTCATCGAAGTGGTGTTTATATGGGGCGCACTGCTTGGAGTTTGCGCATTCTACGCCACACCGAATTTGTGTTGGTTAGCCAAATGTACATTGCATCTTGACTCGAATCGGATGGACGGCCATTGCCCCATAAGTTCTTCCCGACTCCCGATGTATTCTTTCTCACATGTGTGTCTCGAATTGAGCCACTTGGACCTTCCACGGTGACTCAAACCCCACAAAAAGAAACAAGCGAAACAAGCGAGGGACACAACTCACCGGCCTCCAACTTGGGCTGAATGTCCTCAGGCTCCTCCTCTTCCTCCTCCTCTTCTTCTTCCTCTTCTGCCTCTTCGGCAGGTGGGTCTTCCTCCTCAGGTTCCGGGGCAGGAGGAGCGGGAGTCTCCTCTTCGGTGGGTGGTGCCTCAGCCTGGACTTCCGTGAAGCTGACGGCGCTCACGAAGTCAGCGAAAAGTTCTGAGAGACCCATTGTTGTCAATGTGTGACGGCGGGAAATCGGGAAGGCGGGGAAGAGGAAGGGGGGCGGGTAGGCGGGTGTGCGTGCGCGCCGGAGAAGTCCAATTGACGTCGTCAGGGGTTCGACAGCGACTAACGGTGGAATTAGTCGAGGTGGAAGAGGTCTCCGGATGTTGGGGCTGGCGTGTGTTGTGCAGGTTTGTTCGGGTTTGTGAAGTCCTGAGGATTTCCTGACTAACTCAATCGGCAGGATGCGCTGGTCTGATTGGCTGATTGCAATTCCAGGACACTTGATTGGTTGTGGTGGAATTTCTGTATCTCCGCGCCGAGAGTCTGTCTGGCTTATAGCAACTGCGTGTGGCTGGATGCTATATAGTGCCCCAGCCTGGGAATATCCGTCGATACGTTTGCAAAAGGGAGGTTAGAACGCAGGTATCAAACATCTGAGGGTTATGTTCATGCACACACACATACTCTATACATGGCGGTAGGGTCATTAGGGAAATAAAATATCAATGTCTACATGTTTGTCTCTCGCTATGCACGCAATACACCAGACACAACACCACCTGTCCAGTTGAACCTGATAAAACCCCAACGAAAAAAGACTGTCCTGGCATCGGGAGTGTAAGAGGAAAATTATGGGTTATTGGGCCCGACGAAGTCGCGCCTCAAGGTCATTGGCCACACCCTGCTGTTGGGCTTCTTCATAGCCTGGAGGCGGCTCCGTAGGCGGATCGAATCTCTCCTCATGCGGGGTGCGCCGTGTATTCTGGCTGGAGTGCAGGTCATTGCCCGGATTCGAGCATCCGGAGAATGGCGGGGGGTAGGAAGATGATGTTGGACTTGGGCCCTCGTAGGCCGGGAGTTCGTCGAGGTGGACATTAGTAAAGTTGACTCCGCTGTAGGCAACGTCACGCTGCGAACTTCTTTCAGAGATCATTCCGTTCTCCCGAGCTTGCTCGACCACTTGCTGCAAACGTTCCTTGATCCGCTCAAAGGCGGAATGGAAATCGAAGGCACCACCCTCCTTAAAGGTCATCTTTACCTGAACGGCTGTATTTGACGGTGGAATACCGCCTCCGACAACTGGTTGAACGATCGCGGACCACACATTTGGTCCAAAGAAAGGAGCTGAAACAAAAGTGTCATGGAGATTCAGGAGCGGGGCCGAAAATGACTGAAACTGTGGAGTTGGCTGGACGGGGAGGTAGACAATCTGCTGGTTGTCAGTCTTTTTCGTCTGATTTCGCTTCATCTTCTCCAGGGATATGCATACCCGTTGGTTCGTGAGGTGGACGCGGCCGTTGCTGCTTTGAAGAGATAACGACTCGTCTCCCGGGCGGGGATTGAGGGCTTGCAAGCTGAGAGTTGTGCGAAGTGGCGATGTGTATATCAGTCGCTCGTTTGGCAAACGGACGAAGCCATCTGTTTCATGGAGCATAACCCAGCTATTTGGGTGTAGTCTACTTAGTATGGATCGCTTCGGAGGTTGCTGAGGGCAGGTAGGACGGCCCATGGTTTATAGCAAAGGGGGTAATATTCAAGGATCAAGATCACACAGACCCATAGGGGTATCAAGCGCAATGTAGAGTAAACCTCTATGGAGAGCAAAATCAAGTCCAGGAGTCTTTTTTTTTTTTTTTTTTTTTGGTCTGTGCATGCAATAACGATATAATAAGAGAAGGGGCCGAGGACAGAAGACGATACGTACTTTATAGACATGATTGAGATGCCGGCCTAGAGCAAGAGAGCTGCAGGCGACGGAGCAGGGACTACCTGTCGGAAGTACCAGGAATAACACCTCGCGAGTTGCCCACTTTTGCGATGGCGTAGAGGGATCTGAGTTTGATAGACGTGATTCCTTGCTCCAAAAAGCGAGGTTAACGCGCTCCAAATCCCAAGGAGAGAAGTCGAGGCGGGCTAGACCACCCGACGGCTAGCTGCAGGCTTTAATTACGTGCCCTTTCCGATGGGCTTATTGCGGGCTGCGTTAGTTAGCGGGAACTATATGTATGTATGGATGGGGCGGGGCGACGAAATGCAAGATGGGAGAATAAAACCCCGTTGGGTCAGCAAGTGGCCATCGAATAAAACGGGGGGTTGTTGGCAAAATATGTTGATGGAAAAGACCGGGGACGGGGAACGACAGAGTTCACCAGCACGAGGGATGACGGCCCGTTGTCGTAAAAGTGTCGCGAATCCGCGGGTGTGTGTGCGCGGAAGGACCGAAGTTTGAATCGAACTCGTGGATCAGTGGGCAAGGACTTCGTAGTGGAAGTACGGAGTACAGTATATGGGGTAGCTAGTTAATAAAGGGTGGCTCTTGGGCGAACTCTATCGGTTGCTGGCGCAAGGGTCGAAATGCAAAAGGTCTGGGCGTCACGAACATATGTTTGATGGAGGGGTGGGAGCAGAAAGATCGTGTCGTTGTTGGTAACTTGTGCAGAAGCTGCTGTTGTGGGCTGTGAAAGCTCTCGGGGATTAGCAAGGGCCCTTCTCCATCCGCATCAGCCTGCTTGTCCCATTTAACACCTTTTGATATCCCTGTTGACCGCACTATGCGGTGGAGCGACGGCGGTGCCCTCGGAGGGTTCGGTGCTGGCCGGAAAGCAATCGCGAGACCTCCTAGTTAGGCCAGTTGGTTATTCATGTACCGTTAAACTTCCTGTTTCTCCATGGCCAGAGAATAATCATGTCTCGCTCCGTGACGAGAGGCTATCGGACCAGAATGTTTGAAACCTTTCCAATAAATAAATCGTTTATTTCATTTCACGAGAATGAAGACACGGCACATGTTGCAGGGATGGGATAACTAACCGCAACCCCACGACTGGATAATTTCCCGCCTGTTCGAGCTGCATATTTTTCAGCCAGCATCGTTTTGACTTTGTACGGCTATGCTGCCGAGTATGTTGGCTCGAGAAGGATATACGGATCTACAAGCCAAGCGACTATTACATGCCGTAACATACATACATGGAATGCCTGTGACGACGTTCTCGGAGGGCAATTATATGATAACTGTGAAACGCATCTCGTCACCATTACGCCGTCCTACCAGTGGTGAATATGAAGGGTGACCAGACTGGACCGGTTGAGCCGGGGCCTCTATCGAGGAGCGCAGTGAATAGTAACCACCCCCTTTACTCCGCCTTGAGATAAGATGGTCATAGAAATCCAGCCTGCATGTTGGAGTAACTGATCAACGACCATTACCTAGCTTTAACGGAGTAAATAGTAAACATATCATGCTACAGCCGCACTAGCTTCTGGTCGAGCACCCAAAGCCTACCCACACCATTGATGTCATAGATGGGAAACAGGGCAGCAATATTAAGCTATTTCAAGCAGACGAATTTCCAAGGATCTACAGAGAACAGAGCATGTCTAGCACAATGGAGTCAGCCAGCTCTTATCCATTTGTCACCTTGCATCACGGATGAGGATTGGCTTACCGATTATTAATATTTTCAACACTTGCAGTATGCCATGCACAAGTATATGCAATTCGTGCGCTTCAGGGAAGAGCCACGGTCAGGTCCCCCAAAGACTTTGAAGCGCAAGCTAGCGATAATGCCTAGACGGCGGCAGGGTGATGCATAGTTTAATGGACATACTGCTGATGCAATTTTGCATGCATTTGCCGCAGTGGTTAAAGGGACAGGCGGCCCGTGGTTCCAGAAGGCCGGATGTGTTGGTCGTTTCTACGTCGGAGGCGAAAGCCACATGGCTGACCCTCACGATGGCTAAAAGGAGCGTCTGAAGTTTCATGGTCGATAAATATAGAAAGGAAGCACTGCAACGATTGACTATTTTTGGGGGGGAGGGGAAAGGAGCATGTCAAGGAAAGCTGCGAGGGAGCAAGAAAATACTGAAAACGAGAAATGGACCGTCACTGGCCTACCTCATAGGTAGGAAACGCCCTATTTATCTTATGACGATGAATAGATGCCATTGAGGCTCCTCTCGGATGAGTTCAGCCGTAACTAACTAGTTAACAGAAGCCATCGATAGATCAGCCTCCTTTGGTGCTCGAAAGACAATTCTCTTCCCAACTTCTTCCAGTTAACTCATCTCAATAAGCGACCGACCCTACGCATCCCGCTATCATTGATGATGCCAGACTGCTGACTGGGAGTCCGGTGCTCCTGGCTTAAACAATGTGCTTTAGCCGAAAACTTGCAATTTTCAGGGGGCTTCCCGGACGTTGGCTGTTTATGTCACTGCGAGTCTTCGAAGCTTTGCTTCATGAACTTTAATTTATGGAGAACAGTAACGCACTGCTAGGAGAGAGCAGTCGCAGCAGGAGTTTCTTGACACTTGTTCGCCTTTTGGTCCGGGTCAAACATCTTCTAAAAGCCGATGCGCCGGTCTATGTCAAGAGTGCCAACGCGCAGCACCAAAAAAGAAAGAAAAAAAATAAAAAAATAAAAAAAATAAAAAAAAATCAGAAATGCAGGTTGAGACAATGTCGCATGTCCCAAAAGGATCTGAAAGCATCTGATGAGCACTGGATTCCATCCACAGCAAGGCTGTCTCTTGCCCAGGGCTGAAAAGGAGAACCTTTTCATCGCGCATTCTAGACCGCGATCGTCCGCTTTGACATTCCCCTGCATGAAACCAACATTTGCACTGGGTTGTGTTTGCCCGGTTCCGGCCGCTTGCCAGACCAAGCCGTGCACGGGCCTTTTTGGACCGCTCAGCGCGGCGACGGCGAAAAATCAAACTCCCGCTTCAGCAAAGTTTGTTTCTCCGTAAAGGCCTTCATGTTTTGTTGTATTTATCCTGCTTGCCGCAGCAGGCGCCGCCGAAATTCAGGGTGTTTTGCGATTTTGTATGCGACAGACAACGTCTGCGTCGATGTCCTTCTCGCACAATCAATTCATTGGGCTGCTCTCCACTTGGGTGCTGGCACTATTCAACCCAGAATTCCTGCAAGCAATGCGGTGGACTTGCTGAAAAGAATGCGGTGCTCATAACTTACCGGCATTTGCAATCGGTTCTTTTTATCATGGAGTTGTCAGGCGGCTCGGAATCAGCCGATAGTTAAATAGATTATGGATATTTGCGCACGGACATATGGAATCATGTGTATCAAGCACCGCGTCTAGAATGATGTCCGAAGATTTCCGGTCCTCGAGAACTGTGAGCAAACAGGAATTCGTATGATGATTTTTGACGTTACATTAGAAACACAAGAGTTTCGCTTTCAGGTACATATTTTTGTGGCGCTTACTAGATGGGTGTCTGAGCAAATATCGGCTACATATTCTTCCTAGTGACTTCAAGCTCTGCACAATCTTGATATTGCTCAGATCGAGTTAATTCTACCGGACTACGGAGTACTACCTCCCAAGCACTTTTTTTGCCGTGACGATAGCCATAGCGAAGGCATCATCAAATGGGCCCTGACACTCGGCACCACAACTCAAAATGGGACCCTTGCGTTCCCTTGGGTAATCTTTCTCTGCAGATACTATGTGTGCTCTCAGATGGAGTGTGCACAGGCGCTTATTATCATGTTCTTCCTCCTTAGCGGTACCTCGAACGCTGGCCTATGCTATTCTTCCGCCACCTTCTTGGACGTGTGCCTGCTCTATCCATTTTAAATGCTTTGCTGGGTGAAAGGGGGCTATTTTGACATAGATGACAAACTATTGCCTGCTTTGGGAACTTGAAAACAGTATTCCATACTATTTTCACGAACTCGGCCTTTCCCCTAGCCGGTTGAACAACCTTCACAATACTCATCCGTTGATATCAATAGTATTTGGCAGACGGAGAATAGATGGAAGGCCCTAACGCTTAACTATCCTGATGTTCGTTGTGAGTGATTTGGCCATGGATATTTGACGCACAACACCTGTTGCAGGCTTGATGATAAGTAGCTTCGTTTGTTTGATGTTGGGACAAATCAACTACTTGACATAGTTCTATGAGAGTGATGTATTGCGAAATAGGTGCTTATTGACGCCACAAAGACCCATCGTGGGCAGCTTTCTCCCAACAGGTGCGAATATTATTGATTGCCGTTGCCCCGGAGTTGGTTATTCAAGCTTCGAAAATTTTTAAGCTTGACGAAGGGTTTAACTGATGTATTGCCCAGTGGTTGGGAAGTGTTTTTGGTCCCATGGGGCCCCGAATAGCAGAGACGTGGCATTGGGATTTTCATTGTCAACCATACCTGATCTTTAAGTAATAATGCCGTTCTTCGTAGGCTTCATTATAGGTATCTCCAAGGGATCTTTCAAGATGACACTCATACATGCATAACTCGGCGCTTGTCTCGGTCGCCAAGGTTGAGTGCTCAGCCTCGCCAAGCGCACAACTTCACGGTGGAGAGCGCGTGGACGTCGCAAAACCCTCTCCAGACCTCAAAGGCAACAGCGAGTGGTCTCGAGTGGATGGTGCATCTCCAACTTGATAGTTTCAGCTTTGGAGAAGCGGACCCAAGGAGACCGAAGAAACCAGCACTGATCTGGGATCAAGTCGCAGTTGTGGTGGCTGATTGTTGCCAGCAGCGCCTGGCAAAGAATACGGGACGTTGGCTGCATGCTTCAGGCTTAGCCGCAAGGCTGCAGTTTAAAACGGCGAGGATCTGATTCTCTTCCCCGCCCCAATGGCCTGCAGTATGACATTTATTTCCTGCAGAAAGCCTGATGACAAGCGGCCAGCTTGCAGCCGAGACAGACACGTTTAAAAAGTGCGACGGCAGCGGAAGATGCATGAATCAACCCCCTCAACCTTTTCAGGCGTCCATTGCTCCCAAGTGTGATCTCTTCCGTTTCTTCAACTGCATTCTTTTGGAATCGAAACAGCTTGATCGACACTTACTCTTTAGAAATCAATGTTTTCTCCTATGTACGGTTCACAGAAAGGAATCTTTCGAGTACGATTTACTTCAGCGTAGTTGGCATGGATTCCCCCCAAGGCCGCTCAGAGACAGAGACGCGCGCCTCTATGCACACTCGAGCCAGCTCCGTCCAGACACCGACGACCAGTCAGTTAAGGCAGCCATTACCGCCACACTATCTGGCTTCAGTGAATGAAACCGTCTCCTTTGAGCCACGCCCAAGCCGGTCATCCAGCATCGTGTCGACGAGGACCGGATTGACAATTGGGACCTTGCAAGACGAGACGAGGAGCATACGCAGCGTTGACCTGACCATTGGGGGCAGGCTATTTCATATCAACCGAGATGCATCAAGGATATCGATCTTGGAACCAATTGATTTACCCCCATATTCACCTCCGCCACATGGGTTCTCTTCTCTTAGCCAAGTCATTGGAGAGGCTGAGCAGACCCATCCTCACCCAATTCAGCGTTCCGTTGCTAGTTCAGGATCGGCTGATGAGGTCCTACATACAAACAGCGATGAACAAACCGTAGGAAGGAGCCTCTCTTTTAATCCAGGACCTGATAAACTTTCTGTTATACCGAAGAGAAGATCCGCTTCGCAGGGTAATATCCCAGACAGCGCTTACAGCCGTGCCGGACAGCCTGTTTCACCCCTTCGCCGGCGAAATGGCGTTCGTTTGCCCAGAATTTTTACTTCAATACCCCATGAGCGCGACACCTGCTCAGAGGATACCACGCTTCTTGACAACGAGTCCGGAAGCATCCGCGTAACGCGCTCGGCAGGACCGCGCATTGGCGGTGGTGAAGTACACTCGAGGTCGCCATCATACATTGGACAAAATGCTCACGGCAAATTCCCTACCTGTGTTGAATCGACACACTTAACCTGTCCGCACACAAGTTATGGTGGATATTCGCGAAACACGGACGAGTCGCAAATCCTTGCGCCCCAGAGCCCGGCTAGGGTCGAAGAAAACCACGCTGATGGAACTACGCCACCATCAATGGACTCGGAAAACGATATAAGCATTCACTATTCACGTTTAATCCGCAGCATCGATCGCGATAATCGAAAGGCTCTCAACCTTCGGGATAAGGAGCTGGCTACGATGCGCGTAAGATTAAACGAGCTAGACCAAGTTTATCGAAAGGAGCTGAAGTCGCGGGATTTTACAATCGACGATCTCCGGAAACGGCTTCAGCATCTCGAAGAGCAGATGCAATCACGGATTGAGAAATCGCAGAATGAAGTCGAGGAGCAGTGGGAAAGCCGATGGAAGTTAAGGGACCGGCATTACATGGAGAGGATGAGGAGGATGGAGTTGGATTTTCAGAAGCAATTAGAGCAAGCTGTCTCCGATCGGGACAGCGAATGGGCAGCCGAGCTGAAGAGGATGAATGACAAGCTTTTGAAAAATATTGGTGGTACAGGCAGTTTATCAGATTAAAAAAAAAAAAAAAAAAAAAAAAAGCTGGGGGCTGGCCAGTGTATCCAGGCCCCAGCGCTATGGGCCATGGTTCTAGCGCAACCCAGAGCGGATTCAGCAGCAGGATAAGGGCATTCAGTAATAGCACAGAGAATGGAGTACAGTCCGTAGCTTTGTCCAACCCACACAGATTGAGCTCTTGTTTATTGGTTGTGCAAGCAACGTTGCTTCCGAGGATCGCGGCTATCAGGCTGCAGCCCTTGCGGCGCAAAGTATGATATCACAGCTTTTCCGGACACCAGAAAGATAACTGACGACGACAGCCAATGTGTGGACTTGGAAGACCACCACCACTGGCCAAGCAAAATATGGGGAGTTCAAGACGGAGGACCATGCCATAACCCCGGTTGATAGAAAATGACCTGCTTTGGTGGGCCCTTGATTGCGAATTATCGGCAAATGACTCTTTGCTTTGGGCTTTTCGCTCCGGCTCAACCGCCAGTTTGCGGTGGAAACGCCCAGAAACAACAGCCGGGGGGGTTCCTTCAAACCAAACGATCAAACCCTCTTTGCTTTTTTGCTCTCAACTCTCTTCTGTCGTCATTTAAAAATCATCCAAGGGACACTTTTCTGTCAGTACCTTTTAAATGACATGGTCGATATCCTCTAATTTATTGTCTCTCCGTTAGCTTGCCTTCTCCTCCTATCGTTGAATCATTTTAATATCCGACACTAAAAGGCTCCCTTTTTCTTTTTTTTTTTTTTCCCCTCGCCTCCCAAAACTCCCGAGCGCACGTTCTCGAAGCGAACTTTTCGAAACAAAATATTTCGCGTCCCGGGCCTCCCTCTTGGGCGAATTCTGCTATATTAGTACAACATAATAATATACAATAGGAATATGCGATATCCTGTCTTTCTCCCCATATATCCATAGTAGTTGTTGTTATCAAGAGTGTGGCGTTAATTCGTTTTTCTTCTTTGCTTGTTTTGAATAGTTCCCGGAGAAAGGCGATCGCTCCCGTATCCTGAGCTCCCTGCAAAAGACCTTCCATCGCTCCTCCACCGTCCGCGCATACGGCAAGATTTTTCTGATCTCGACGACGGTGACCGCGGTGTGCGTGGCTGCTATCGACATCGCCGGCGCTGCGATCCGGAGGAATTATCGGAGATAAGGAAGGGAACAAGGGAGGATACATGGTCGCGGCAGAGGGATTGAGAATTTGACTAGAGCTAAAGTCGCAAGGACCTGGGCAAAAAGGAAAGGAAGGATTCAAGATGGCGACGGGCTCGACGTACCGGCCTATGGTGGCATGGGTGTACGATACCATGCTGTGGTTGTTCTCGGTGCTGGTGGACCTGTTCTTTCGAGAGGTGCATCCTCGAGGATCATGGAAGGTTCCGAAGAGGGGAGCGGTGATTCTTGTTGCTGCTCCGCATGCGAACCAGGTGCGATATTGCTTGCTTGAGCTGTTGCTATTGTCCTTCTTCGCGCAAATGGTGTTACAAGAGAAGACTTTTCACTGACCGATCGTTTTGTGCTTTCGTCCCAACAGTTTGTCGATTCCTTAATCTTAATGCGCGTTATGCGGAGAGAGCTTCAAAGACGGGTTGCTTTTCTTATCGCTGAGAAGTCCTTCCGGCGGAAATTCATTGGCTTGCTCGCCAGGGCTTCTGGTGCAGTTCCCGTGTCCAGAGCCATGGACAACATGAAGCCCGGCAAGGGTGTTATATATCTTCCGGATCCCGTGAACAACCCTACCTTGCTGAGAGGGATTGATACAAATTTCGTAAGCCCCGAGTTTCAAGTTGGCGGCACGATCACACTTCCGACGGTGAATGGGCAAGCTGCTAGCACCGATATTGGCGAGATACGCGGTCCCGAAGAGATCATTTTAAGAAAGCCGTTCAAAACCAAGGATGCCCTCTATCAGCTGACTGGAAGAACCGACATCACTGCCGATGGAGATCTCACCATGAAGTCTCTTAGTGGGCCCAACCCTGATTTCAAGGGCACCAAGTTCAAGGTCGCGCCGCACATTGATCAAACCCAGGTCTATAGAGCGGTTTTTGACACCTTAAACAATGGTGGATGCATTGGAATTTTTCCTGAGGGTGGCAGTCATGACCGTCCGGATCTGCTTCCTTTGAAAGGTACGTTTATGTCCCAGCGACCGTTTAACTCTTTGGGAACTAACCTTGTGACAAGCTGGTGTTGCGCTGATGGCCCTCGGGGCTCTAGCTGAGAATCCCGACTGTCCGGTAAAAATTGTACCCTGTGGAATGAATTATTTCCATGCCCATAAGTTCCGTTCTCGGGCGGTTATAGAATTCGGCAACCCCATTGAAGTCCCTCCTGAACTTGTCAAAATGTACAGGGATGGGCACAGACGTGAAGCTGTGGGCTCATTGCTGAATACTATCTATCAAGGACTTGTCTCGGTGACAGTCACCAGTACAGACTATGAGACTTTAATGGTTTGTACCGAACATCGATTGTTTCGGAGACTTTATTTTCTTGGTTTCTGACATATCTGTAGTTAATTCAAGCCGCAAGACGACTTTATAACTCGACAGGCAGAAAATTGCCACTTCCGGTTGTTGTGGAACTGAACCGTCGGCTCGTTAAAGGGTATGAACATTACAAGAATGACCCTAGAATAATAGGGGTGAAGAAGTCCGTGATGGAATACAACAAACAACTATGGCTCCTTGGAGTCCGTGACCACCAAGTCGAGTACGCCAAATTTTCGTTCATAAAGGTGATTACCACCTTGATTTACCGCCTCGTCAAGTTGGCAGTCATGGCTATTGGGACATTACCCGGTTTAATCCTCTTTGCTCCAGTTTTTGTGGCCACGAAGACAATTTCCAGAAAGAAATCAAAAGAGGCTCTGGCAGCGTCCAGTGTCAAGATCCAGGGCCGTGATGTGATGGCCACCTGGAAGCTTTTGGTTGCTTTGGCATTCGCGCCAATCCTATACTTGTTTTACACTGTTGTCCTTACATATTGGACTTACTATAACCGCGTGCAAGGATACGTCCCAGGATGGGTGCCGCTTTGGGTAGTGGTATTATTTGGCTTTGGATTTTTCCCATCCATCACGTTCGCGGCGTTGCGCATTGGTGAGGTAGGGATGGATATCATCAAATCCCTGCGGCCCTTGGTGCTCTCGCTTAACCCGACGTCTGCAAATACACTCCATAAACTTCGGATTCGACGCGCAGAGCTATCTGAGCAAGTTACAACCCTAATCAATACCTTCGGGCCGGAACTATATCCCGATTTCGACTCGACTCGAATTGTTGCAGACCCGTTGAAGGAGGCATTCTTCACCGACGAAAGCACGGCGAAATCTAGACCTCAGTTAGACGGAGAATCGATGGATCTCCGGCGAATGCAGCACGGCGAGCCCGCCCATCCTGGCGTCGAAGGCCAGCTCCCCCGCAACGAATCCTTCCATGATCTTGCCAACTTTGGGTTTTTCTCCACACGGCCGCCCAGCCGTGATAGCCATAGCCGCAGCAGCTCCAGCGGTGGTCTGGTTGGATCTGCGGGATTCCCCGTAAAGTCGTTCACCACCCTGGACAGCAAAGAAAGCTTTGACGAGGTTACCAGACGCATCCGTGGAGCGATGCGGGAGCGCGGACGGCAGCGACGGAAGAGCGAGGATAGTGGATTTTCGGTGGAAAGTTCAGGGTCGCTGTCGCCGATCCGGGTGGACTCTAGAAAGTATAAGTGAAAGAGATCAGGGTTATATATATATATATATATATATATCTATGTGACGTGGGCAAGCCACGTCTTTTTGGTTTTTGAGATGATCAACAATGCAGGCTCCTCGGCTGTGTTTTCTGCCTGCATGTGTGGGTAAATACCGTTTAGCGAATTCCGGTTTCTTTACGCCCTGTTTGTCAATGAGCTATGTACGCTTGATGTCCTTAATCACTTTTGGCCCTTTTAATTCTTGAGCAGGTGTTGGGTTGACATTCTGGATGGAGCTATTGGTGAACGGAGAAAAGGCCTGCTTTCATTTTTTTTTTATTTAATTGAGCATGTATGAATACTTATTTTTCCTCTTTCTTTCTTTTCTTTTCTTTTCTTTTTTCCCCTCTTGGATCATCGAGCTTAGCCTTGCATTGATATCCATAATCAGAATCCCCAATACCAATGCCATCGTGTTCCTAAATGCCATATGACAAGCGGCAGACACACAAGCTTGTGGGCCGACCGTTGACGTCCAGCTGCTGGATGGCTCTGATATAGACGTCAGCGCCAAGGCCCGCGAGCCAGGATCCTGCGCAAACTCTCCGCCGCAGTGCGCTAACTTTAGCATCGGCTCCAAGGGCAAAAAAAATATATGTACGCCTGCTTGATGCGAACACGTATGCTCGAAGGGAATCTCACATTGAATTCCTTCTCTTCGCTCCGTTAGCTCTCTTGTCAAAGAGTCTCTCTTTTCCTTGAGCAAACGCCATATTGTATTGTGTGTATTGTCTAATTTCAAAAAGCTTCTGGCTCCGCTTGTAATTTCACCGCCCTGATAAACGACCCCTATTCGCGAGACAATTTACATTAGCTTGGTTCTCGATTCCGCGCTGGTCCGTGATCAATCGATCCTCTATCCCTCATACGATCTCGTGCTCTGGGGGCGACGTGCTTGAGATTGACTGTCGCTTGAATTTCCGTCCTCCTCGTGTCCATCCGTGGCTTCCCGTACTCCTGACCGAACTATACTGGTGGATTTACATCTTTGAGCACCATCCGATTTCTTTGGCCCTGACGAGTCATATTTCTTCATATACTGCCTCACTTGCATGTCTACCTCGTCGCCGTTGTTGTTTCCCGGCCGCTTATTTTACGAACTCCAAGAAACGCGAGGCAATAGAGATCCCCAAGTCGCCCGCCATGTCGTCATCCATGCACCTTTCCAAAATGCGGAAATGGTTCGCCTCGTCTCCGCCGGTGGAATGGGGGATTGGGCACATCAGAGAGCTTCTGATCGGGGCGCTGAAGCAGGGACCCATCCCGCAACACGTGGCGTTTGTGATGGATGGAAATAGACGGTTTGCGAGAAACCATGCTATAGAGAGAGTGGAGGGACATAATTTGGGGTTTGAGGCCCTGGCAAAGGTATCTTGCTTGCTCCTCGGCACGGTTTTATATTTTCTCACTTGGCTGGGATGCTAAGCTGGGATCCGTCATAGATACTGGAAGTCTGTTACAAGGCCGGCGTCAAGGTGGTCACGATATACGCATTTAGCATCGAGAATTTCAAGCGGTCGAAATTCGAGGTTGATGCCCTGATGGAGATGGCGAAGGTGAAGCTATCTCAGTTATCCCAGCATGGTGACCTGCTCGATAGATATGGTGCCAGCGTGAGAGTGTTGGGGAGAAGGGAGTTGGTGAAGGCGGATGTGCTGGAAGCGATCGATCGGGCCGTCGAGCTTACGAGTAGGAACGGGGATGCGATCCTTAATATCTGTTTCCCCTACACGTCTAGGGACGAAATTACATCTGCCATACGAAATACCGTGATCGATTATAGTACCCCACTTGATCGGACCTCGTCGAATGGGATCAAACGGCAATTTTCGAAATCACGAATCGTTCAGACCATCCGAGAACAAGCACCAAGTGCGGAGCCAAACCCTAAGGAGGTCGAACTCGTGTCCGAGGAGGACCGCTCCACTATTGAACCTCCATCTTCGTTTTCTTCTACGACAACTCTGCAACAGTCCCAGATGGCAAGCAAGCTGGCCACAGTATCTGGGCCCTATACGTCATATCCTCCGAACAGCGACCAGCTGATATTCCTCTCCCCCGAAACGATTTCTACTCAAACCCTTGACGACCACATGCTCACTGCGGATAGCCCACCCCTGGACCTCTTAATCCGTACATCGGGCGTGGAACGATTAAGCGACTTCATGCTCTGGCAATGCCATGAAGATACCGACATTATCTTCTTAGACACCCTCTGGCCATCGTTTGGGCTGTGGGACTTCTTGCCAGTTCTTTGGGAATGGCAATGGCGAGTCCGAAAGCAAGGACGAAGACGACATGCCCATAGTGCCCGTGGGTCGGCATTACGTGACACGCAACTGTCCAGCAGCATGTCCAATGAGTGGTCTTCTGACGACGAGCATATGGCGAAAAAGATGAAGAGTCTGTAGACGTGCCCTTCCGCGGTCATGCGTGTTTCCCTTTTTCTGTTCGGATCTGGAGCCAGTCCCTTAGCATGTATCACCACGGTGGGCTCTGCTTCCTTTATGGACAGGGATAGAGCTATTATCTCCGATTTTTTATCTCATTTCTACATATTAGCCCCCCTTGTTGTTTCCTCGAGCTTTTTAGAATATACACACATGTCTATGTACTCCGTATCTAGAAATGATATACCCGGTTCTGTGCATCTCCCTCCTGGCTGAGTCATCCGGTAACCGCCTGTTGCTCAGGGCGAGGGGCAGCGAAAAGTCAAAAGGCGGGGAACAGCGACACGTCCGAACTGCAATCGTCAACCCCTCGATCATCCGCCAGTCTCTGCTTGGCTTGCCTGACATCAATCGCCCGTTTATCATCATCTAAACAAGCTGTCTACGATTCAAAAATGCCTCAGTCATACGAAGGTCGCAAGGTGCTGCTGTAAGTTGGCGGTTGCTTCTTCTCTCACGACGTTAGCCGACCCGGAGGAGAGAATCTTAGTCAAACTGTTTTCATGCTGACGATGAATGATTCTGCATAGTCTAGGAAGCGGATTCGGTATGCGGTCCTTTCAAGAAACGATCAATTGGCGAAAGCAAACAAGACTGACTGTGTCAATTGACAGTCACCAAGCCAACTCTCGATATCCTCAGCAATGACGGGGTCCACGTTACAGTCGGTATGTCCTCCCAATCTGCTAAATTTGCTTGGATAAACGCCCTTCTACAGTCCAGCAACAATGACTGACCATTTCTTCACTTGTCGACAGCTTGCCGCACTCTCGAATCTGCGAAGAAGCTTTGCCAAGGCATAAAAAACACCACTCCAATCTCCCTTGACGTGAACAACAGCGAAGCTCTCGACGCTGAGCTTTCCAAGAATGACCTTGTCATCTCCTTGATCCCGTATATCCATCATGCTACTGTGATCAAGGCGGCTATCCGTACTAAGAAGAATGTTGTCACGACATCGTACGTCTCACCCGCAATGTTGGAGTTGGAGAAGGAGGCCAAGGAGGCAGGAATTACTGTCATGAACGAGATTGGTCTTGATCCCGTATGTTTCTAGTACTTTTTTAACCCAAAACAAAGCGTGGAAGGAACTGCGTAGGCTTACGAATTGGTGCAAATAGGGTATTGATCATCTCTATGCCGTTAAGACTATCACTGAGGTATGTCTCCCCGAACAACTGTGTGTGCGTCTTCAGGGGGGACCCTGACTGACAACCGCGTTAGGTCCACGCCGCTGGCGGCAAGATTACTTCTTTCCTTTCATACTGCGGTGGTCTCCCCGCACCTGAGTGCTCCGACAATCCTCTGGGATACAAGTTCTCATGGTCTAGCAGAGGCGTCCTTCTTGCTCTTCGCAATGCCGCAAAATACTATAAGGACGGCAAGATCGAGTCTGTCTCCGGCCCTGAGCTAATGGGCACTGCTCAGCCGTATTTCATCTACCCCGGCTTTGCCTTCGTCGCCTATCCCAACCGTGACTCAACAATGTACAAGGAGCGCTACCACATCCCTGAAGCCGAGACCGTGATCCGTGGCACCCTCCGCTTCCAGGGATTCCCGGCAATGATTCGTGCCCTCGTGGACATCGGATTCCTTAGCGACGAGCCCAAGGACTACTTGAATTCTCCAATTGCCTGGAAGGAGGCCACCAAGCAAGTGCTCGGCGCCTCATCCTCTGATGAAAAGGATCTCGCCTGGGCTATCTCCTCCAAGACGGAATTCCCATCCACCGAGGAGAAAAACCGCATCATCGCAGGTCTCCGCTGGATTGGCCTTTTCTCCGACGAGAAGATTACCCCTCGTGGCAACCCTCTTGATACCCTCTGCGCAACCTTGGAGCAGAAGATGCAGTACGGCCCTGGTGAGAGGGATATGGTTATGTTGCAGCACAGGTTTGAGATTGAGAACAAGGATGGCAGCAAGGAGACCAGAACAAGCACCTTGTGCGACTATGGTGATCCAAAGGGCTACTCCTCGATGGCTAGATTGGTTGGTGTGCCCTGTGCTGTTGCTGTTAAGCAGGTCCTTGATGGGACCATTAGTGAAAAGGTACGTAGGATCATCTTTTTCATCGTTCAAAGAAAGAACATACATTGCTAACTGTTGATAATAGGGTATCCTTGCACCCATGTCTATGGAGATCTGCGCCCCATTGATCAAGGCTCTCAAGGAAGAGTACGATATTGAAATGATTGAGAAGACCCTCTAAGAGACGCGAAGCACAGCCATTAACCACGTCTTGGTCGATTATGTTTTAGCTGAGATTTGCAGCTATGGATAGACCTTAAATATTTAACATAATTAGAGGCACAAAAAAGAAATCAAAAATTTGGATGGATGGATGGATTAAAAGGTCAAATTCATTATTATCATTGTATGTTGTGTCTACAAGTCCGTTATTATATCGTCAGCCACCATCGAATCATTCATCCATCATTTCATAACTTTGATCACTACTTTTCCCCTTGCATGTCTCCCTTCAACTCTCTCGAACGCTGCTTCAAAGTCGTTGAATTCGTAAACCGAGTCCAGGAAAGCTCTGCACTTCCCATTTTCTAAGAACTCCGTCACTCGCGCCAAATCTTTCCCGCGAGCTGCATCCATTATGAAAAACCGATTCGTGACGCCCTTTGCCTGGCAGTCTGCAGGTTTTCTACTCTCTGGCGGCTCGCATACGCTGAGCAACTGCCCACCGTCCTTGACGGCGTTCCAAGCATCAGCGAGGGCCCCTCTTCCAAAGCAATCCACCACCAGGTCAACCTTCCAATGCTCTGGATCCTGGGACACCCATTCCGCAAGGCTGCTTTGCTTATAATCCACCAAGTCGGTTGCGCCAATTTCCCTCAACAGTTTCTCCATATCCGCATCCCCACCATACGTGCCCACAATCCTCTCAAATCCCGCAATCCTCGCAAGCTGCACACACCACAGCCCAACGTTCCCACTGGCAGCGGTAACAACCACAGCCTTACCCCTGGTCGCCTCGTCATCCGGCCCCTTGAACCCGGCCTGGTCAAAGACCAACTGCCACGCCGTCAGCGCACTCATCGGCACCGTCGCGGCATGCACAAAGTCCAAGTTCTTCGGCTTCAGAGCGATCTCCGAGCCGAGCAGGATGGTGTATTCCTGGGCCGCGCCGGGTCTGGACCATGGAATTCGCGCGTAGACGGCGTCGCCGGGCTTGAAGGAGGATGTGGGAGGGGCGAGAACGATGGTGCCGGCAACGTCCTGGCCGGGGACGTGCAAGGGAGGGGCCTTGGGAATGCCGAATTTCCACCAGGTGAGTTCGCCGGCGCAGGGGGCGGTGGTGTGCACGCGGATGAGGTGCTCGTCGGCGTCAAGGTCGGGGGTGGGCGCTGGGCGCGTGGTGCGGGTTAGGGAGTCTTCTTGGGGGTTGTGGAAGAGGGCACGAGTGGTGGCGGGTATGGAGGAGGTGGGGGCGGCCATCGTTGGTAAGGTAGTTCTGAGAGAAGTTTTAAAACGGTTTTGGGGTGTTTGAGGGAAATGGTATTGGCTTTCTGCTGTAGAGGCTAAGTCAGGGAGGACTCCCACGACTTTATACTCGTGTTGATTCAGCGGTCGAGACGTTGAGTCGGTAGGATCGGTGCCATCTTCGCCGATACGGTGCTTGAAAACTTTTGTACGAGAAGAAGAAAGGCGATAGGTTTGAGGACTATTAGCCTATTGTTGTTTTAGGCGACGGGTATTTAAGCAGAATGGGCTGGACCGTGAGAAGGTCGTATTCTGAGCCATCGGCAATGACATCACGAAGTTTGAAGCTCTCACGGCAAAAATTTTCACCGCCAAGCTCGTTTGGGCACTGCGACGAATTTCCCTTTCCGTGAAATGGTAAACACTGAAGCCCAAGATCATTGCAATAAGTTCTTGCAAGGGCCTTCAGGTTACGCTCCAACCTGCATCCGAGCTCTAATTATATTATCTCTTATCGGATCAAGGCCTGTGTATTCGAACGCTGCAGACATTGTCTTCTGGAGCTTGCGTCTGCAAAATCCATCCGCTGTTCAATGTGGCGGCAACCTAGTTAGTTAGTTAGTTATTCATGCCGACATATCAGCTGCATTCTACTGTCCGTCTCCGATGGTCGACAGCGGAGTTGTGCTTCAGCATTCCACCTTACCCCCCCCCCCCCCCCCCCCCCAGCAGTCCCTAATCCTTGTCGTGGTTATGCACAGACTCAAATGACGGCGAGAGGTGACCCGAGGAATGGTTCCGTGAAGCGTACTGCGTGCTAGGAGGCATTGTTTCCTACTTTGCCCGCTGTTGGATGGCTGGACTCGATGAGGGCCGTCTTTGATACTCCAAGCTGTTAAGATATCAGAGACTTTTCCTATTTATTTGCGCCTTTAGCAGTCTCGGGAGAATGATACATTCAAACACATAAAGATGCTTCATCCCCCATACAGTGCAGATTTCAACCCTTAGAGGGTACCAAAAAAAATAACGACATCAGCGCCAAGTGCTCTTCAGAACCAGAGACGAAACTCTGCACTTCTTCGGGACAGTATATGATCGATTCGGATCACTCTCCCACACTACCCTTCCGTCGTCACTCTTCCGGATATATTTGTAATCGAATTTCTTCCCCGCGGCGAGATCAATCTGAATGGACCACAGGGGACAAGAGGCTTCGTACTTGTCCGCTTTCAGTTGTTTTGCCGCACTGGGCTCCCATGATCCTAATTCTGGAATAGACCCAACGAGAAAAATGTTTTCGCCCCATTTTGTGTCGGTGACCGACTGGAAAGTGATTTTGACACTGCTTGGGGTTGGGCATGGTGCCGGGTTGGTTGGAGTTGGAGTCAGAGTTGAAGGCCACCCTGTTATGGTCGCGGCTTGAAAACTTCCAGCCGCCGATGTTGCCAAGCAGGTCGGTGGAATGTCGTGCGCAGATTTTTGACCCCATGATCCCGGCACAACCGATTCCCGTCTCTCTTTTGCTGTCAAAAGAGCAGCGTACGACCAAGTCAGGTCACTCGCAGATAGTGGTGTCCCATCGTTTCTTGAGAACTGCTCAGCTAGTGCCCCAGAGCAAGGCGTGTACTTTCTCTGTTTTCCGTGAGCAGGTGGATATATGTGGGAAGATAGTGGCGCTAACTTACTGCAACATTCAAGTACCCGTCGGCATAGCTCCCGACATTGGCAATGATCTCAGAGAAGACGTTAGTTGAGGAGGAATAAGTTCCAACATGAGCTGACTTGTAAATGCTTTGGAAAAATGGCAATGACACATCGGTGATGGTAATCTTGCCCGTATGATTCCATTGGTAAATAGCATCATACAAGAGCTCGGCAGAGGCAAACGTCGCGAGGTACCACGGCTGTCCTCCATAGTAAACATCTTCAGCATATCGACCAACGGCAACAGCCTGATCACCTTCCATGCCAGAATTTATTGGGTATATTTCACGAAAAGAATCCGTAACCTTCTTGTGATTCGCAAGTGCTCTCGACGAGCACGGCTGGAATGTATTATCATCGCAATCCGCCTCTGGATCGAAGTTATGGATGATGCCAAGAAGGGAGTTTGCGTCAAGACCGGATCTGTCTCCCCCGAAATTCGCGATGATGTTGGACCCGGTCCAGAATGACTGCAAGAAGCAAAGTATTTGTGGTGCTTGCGACTCGCAGTGAGGACAATCCGTCCCAAGCTGGCGGGCAAGGTTGTTGCCTTCTGCGAGCGCACGATGTTGTGCGATTGCTGTGAAGAACGACGATCCCTGAACTTCTTCCCATAGGTCTACTTCGAGGTCAACGGCTCATCCGCTGAGTACAAGGGGTAAGGAGGTGCATACCAAATCCAGTAGAGTTCCAGAACTGGCCAACGTACGACAGATCATTCTGCACGACCGGCCATACGATGGATTTCGCGGCATCTTCATGCCCATTGGCCTAGCCACCCAAAGGGTCAACGTCTCTCCCAACGATTTGCAGACCAAAGGATCCTTACGATAAGCCATTTCGCGTAGGTAATCATCGCAGTGGCTCTCAGAGCCGGCCCGTCTGCCTGAGGCCGGCCCCAGCTCCCTGTGAACGCAGATTGATCCACATGAAACTTTGGCTCACCGAGTCCACCAGTCGACAAAGTTCCAGATGGATTCGACACGGTCTGTAAATATGATTGAGCGGTGATATATTTGTGGATGCGATCCTGCGAGTCATGGTTTCCAGCAACAAAAGCATCGATTAGGTGTTTGAAGACGAGGGCGGCGTCTCGAGTCCATGTATAAAAATCTAAAATTCATATCAGTTTAACAGGTAAATGCAATTTTTTCAATCTGGGTAAACCGCGCATCGCGTCGTATGCGCCGGAGAGAAAGTAGGTGGATAAGCATAGCTGCATACAATCCGGATCAGCCCTGCTCGGGCTCGCAACGACAATACCAGCATGAGCACCCTGCACTTTCGCCCCGTCGTCCCCGATATTGTCAAGAATAGATTGGAGGGCATATGAGCTCTCCGTTTCAAGCCATTGCTCCAAGGTCTCTTCTTGCCGCAGTGCGAACTTTGCCTCCGAACCGCTGACCAGGCTATAGACCAGAGGGACGGCGTATAACGCTCTGAGGATGGATAGCATCATGGTGCACTAAACATCAAGGCGGAGTTGGATATAGAAATTTCCTGCTCAGAGATGATAGCTGATTGTCTGGATGAGTATTTGTCGATCTCGAGGGATGAAAAAGTCAGCAGGTGCCCTTCAATGATGAAATGACACGGAGGGGCTAGTTATTGAGGAGAAGCCTGTGTATATACAGCGGTTAGGCAAGAATGAAATCTCTTCGCCTCGTTGAGTCCTTGTGTGCCCACAATGCATTGTATTTCCCCTGGTTTGATAGCAAACGCCCCAGCACGATGCTCAGGGAGAGGACTGCAGTAGAATGCCGATGGTATGTCGTGGAAGGATGCCAACGATGGAGCTGCGGGAGATCTCCATGAACTAGTAGCTGAGGAGCTTGTGGTGTCACATGCTTTAGTTAGCAGCCTGAGCAGTGAGCATTGCCTGTACTCCGTAGAGGCCGAAAGGATCAGCATCGTGTGATCGCTACAAGGATGGCATCACATAGTCAGGCGTACCTGGCGAGGAATCACCATCTACATAGAGCAGTCGCCAAGGATACACAAAAGCCACAAAGGATGCGGAGATCAAGGTCCCTGATACGCAAGACTGCAACGGAAGATCTCTGATTAGGAGCCCGACTGCATACATGATGGTAATCAGCTGTTTTGTATGGAGAGATGAGCGACAATGAGCTTATCAGAATGCTAATATAGCGGTCATAAGGTACATATTGCATTTCACATCAGTCATATTCTCATTCTTGAAAGAAAAATTATCTGCCGACAGTGGGCACAGAAATCCCATCTATCTTTCCGTTCCTTTATACCGGTCTGTCAAGACTCCTCGAAAACATGCCAATGCTGAGGGGCAAAATTTAAAAGTGGAAAAACACTAACGAACGCCTAAACGCTGAAACCAATGCAAAGGGGTTGGACGGTCGACAAGGCCAATCCATCAGGGTAATGTTTCCAGTCGGTAATTCTAAATGTCTATTGCCCGACATGGACTTTTCGTGGAAGAGCCAGATCGGATCAGAGTATAGTGCCAAACCTAGGAGGGCGACTTGTAAGCAAGATGCTGAACATAACAGAACATTATGCAAAGAACGGATGGGGGTAATTGTCCGAAATCCAGACTTATGGCGGCAGCAGCGAAAGGTAGTCGAACATTGCACAAACAACAAAACACAGCATAAGCCGACTTACCCGAAAGCTTGCTTGATGCTTCTGACGTAGTACACGTCCCAATTTCGCTGCACAACATCTTCTTGGCCGACGGGGACGCCATCCCATTTGACATGCAAGGTAGTAACGCAGTCAACGTCGTTCTGGTCGAATCTAATTTCTAGGGTGCTATAATGGTCCTCCGGCCACTGAGCAAGACGCCACTTCTGGACGATAAGAGTCGGCTGTTCAAGTTTTACAAACTCGCCAGTAACATTTCCATCAAAGATGGAGAACTTGCCGCCAACCTGGGCACCGTCAAAGCGTCTTGGAGGCGCACGGGTGAAGACGGCAAGGCGTTGAGGATCAGTGAAGGTGGTATACATCTCTTCCGCGGTGGTACGGAACTCATCAGACGCATTCACGGTAACGGTGTTCACGGCTTGCTTGCGTGTGGTGGTTGTGGTTGTCTGAGTCGCGGGTTTGGAAGACGATTGCACATCGCTTGAAAGATACTTGGGTGTAGCAAAGCCACTGGACGGGTTGGATCCTGGCGCATGCTGGATATCTTTGCCGTGCTCTGCAATCAACGCAGGGGCCAACTTAGCGAGCTCTGTGCGTAGCTGTGGCACAATCTTTGAACGCACTAGATCTTTCACCGGCTGCTTGGATGCAGACTCCGAGTAAAGACTAATATCGAACTGTTGAATCATGAGTTACAATCATTTCTTTTACGGATTCAAACGGAGTTCGAACTACGGTGTTAAAGGGAAACGTACGACATACTCATCTTCCTCAGTGTCATGCGCGACCTCGGGGACTTTGATGGATCCGGAGACGCTATCATCCTCGTCCGTTGTGCCTGTAGAACACGCATTAGACAGAATTCAAAACTAAAAACAAGTAGAGTTGATCTGTGCTAGTTATATGGGGCATACCCTCGAATTCTAATGTCAATTTTACATCAAAGAGCGTGATAACCTTTCCCTTGCGTTGGCTAACATCGACATCCCCATCCATACTGACGATTTTGGACACCTTTGCCGTCACTCCATTTTCCTCCGCGGAGATGGCGGCCAGCTTCTCTCCAAGGTAATCTTTCGCCCAGGCTGAAACATCCTTGTTCACCCAGTGCCAGTTGTTAGGGTTATGAAGTACCATCGTGATATCTATGCAAGGTGCCTATTGACCAAGTAAAAAAAAAAAAGGGGGCAATGTCAGATGTCTTCAAGTACGATTGAATCTGTTTCTCAACGTTTCATATCAAGTTAGTGTAGTCCTGATAATCGAAACGGATTCTCTTGGATCAAACAGCGAAAAAGCAAAATGAACAAGTAATCAGATAGGAGGCATTTAGAAGCCAAAGGGTTGTCCGCAGCAAACAGAGTACAAGTCTTTCTAGGACTGGTGCCAGCGAAAGATTTTCATCATGTCGAGTTCAATTTTCAACGGGACAGGTGGGGTAAGGTGGAAATACTTACAGACGATCCTGAAGCGCACAATTGCACGGAGTACGAGGAGGAAAGACAAGACGAGAGAACTGGGCGGAGATGGATGAGGAGGGTTGAGTTGAGGAGAGTTGTTAGTAGTCTTTGGAAAGCTCTAGAAGACCAGCAGCTTTTTGGCGACGGAAAAGTAAAAAAAAGTCAAAATTTCGGAGCGGTCACGTGATAACCAGCGGCCTCATCGGCTTTGCAGCGAGCTTCTCGGGCGCGTAGACCTCGAGGAGACCAAATTGCAACTTTTACATTTCTTTAGAGTTTACTTAACAGTGCTGATATTGGTGATACAGGGCTGCTGGAAGATTCCGTGTAAACCAGCCAAACACATAGGCAGGTACCCTAGTTGGTGAACTGTCAATACAGCAGGCTCTCTTTCATCCTTCAATGTCGGCTACCTCAAGAGAACTGGTAGCACTCTCTGCTGTAGCAGAAACTCAGCCCATGCTGATGATTTCACTTGGCCTGTCAGTTGCAGCTTCAGGCAAGGCTGGCTCGTGATGGAGTCTCGCGCTGACATTTTGATGACATTGGCACCAAGTTTCTCGGCGGCGTTTACGCAGTATTATTTTCTTGAATTTGATCTGTGGCTCATTATTTATCGTAATCATCATCACCCAAAAATTTCAACATCGAAAAAAAAAAAAATAAAAATAAAAAAAGGTAAAATGAAAAACGAAAATAATAAAAATAATAAAAATGAAAATGAATGTATGCAAAAAACGAACGAATATGGGGTATCTCTCGCAGACAGACAGCAGTCAACAGCAATCATGAACAGGATGCCGCTCCGATAGGCTACAATGAAGGGAAAAAAGCAACAAAAGAGAAACCCACCAAAACCAAGCAACACATCACCTATGCCTCTTCCATCTGCAAAATACCCTCCCAACCACCCTCCTCTTCAAGCCACTTCTGTACCCTCCCCTTCACGTTCTCCAACTGCGATCCTAAGGCTTCATGCCACTGGCCCTCGACCATTCCCACTTTCTCTTTCAGATCAGCGGTAAGGATCCTCTCTTCCTCCGCCAACGATTCCTGCATCTCGGACGTCACTATCTCTGCTGGCTCCCCGGAATTAATCCGTTGGATCTCCATGGACTTGCAGTTCGAACTCACGAGACCGGATTTAACCTCGTGTAGAAGGCAGAGGAGATTAGTTTGGGATTCGATGAACTGATAGGTCGCCTTCTCAGCGTGCGAAACGAGGGTGTAGAGGTATTGCAGCGGGTATTGGTAATAGCTCGGATTCTCCTTGTATTCCTTCTGTGGGATTTTCACAGAGAAGCCCCCAAGGTCATCTGGAATCTTCTGGACCAGAGCGAGTAGGGACGGGGCGATGTCCCAAAATGCACCAAGCTGCGTTTCAACTCCCCTGCTCACGTTCGCTTCGATCACGCTCATGAAGTTTTCGAACCGCTGTAGCGTCTCTGACGCGAACGTGGCCTCTCGGTTCTGCCCGTCCTGAATGAAGAAATTATCGGTTTCCTTGAGCTTCTCCCGGTTATTCGATTGCTTATACGGCAGGGAGACAACAGCCCTGAATTTCTCATTGCATTTGCTGAGTAGATCGTACTCCTCACGATGCAGCTGCTCGCGTGCTTCAAACAGCCACTTCAGCTGTGTCAGTTTTTCGAGTAACTCGGGTCGCTCATCGCCTTCCTCCTGTGTCTGATTTGGACTTTCATCGTTGGTAGAATCGAATAGCTTCTCTTGAAGCTCGTTCAGACAGGCACTAACTGCGCCTATTCGGTCTTTAAGGACGCTCTGCATCGGCCGAAGAACCTCCTCTTGGTACGAATCGAATTCCTTCTGGGCTAACTTTTTCTCCGCTTCATTCTCTTTTGCCTTCCGTCCGGCCTCTGCGTCGGCAGCGTCGGCATAGGAGATAGTGCCCTCTTCAATCGCTTGGTTAACCCGGAACCTGAAGTCTTGGCGCTCTTCTTTCACCTTCCTCTGATGATCCTCTCGGAGCTTTTGGAACTTCGTTTCATGGTTTTGATAAGCTTCGCGTAATTCAGAAAGTTCGGTCACGGACCTGACGGTCGTTCGATAAAATCCAAGGTCCGGGTGGTTATTGTTCACACCGGGATAATGCCGTGGGTAGGGTGGCGGCAAGGTAATAAGCCTAGATATATCCAATTTTTGCGCCTCGCGACTTAGAGATAGCTGGCGGATCGGACCTTGGGCACCGGCTGAGTCCTCATGCCACCCAACCTTCTCGGGGGGATATTCATTCGGCCCGTAGCTTAAGAATGGATTGTTCGTGTACCCTGTTGAATTGTCCACAATTGGCGATGTGCAATAGTTCTGCTCCATAACTTCGCGCAACGGGAGACCCATGTATTTACTCTCTCTTTTTGAACGACGCACGCCTTGGCCATTTCCGCCGCTATCGGAACCTGTCTGGGATTCCCACCATCGACTTGCTGGCCTGCCTCGGGAACCCTGCTCGTCATTGCTGATGCTCATGCTCGCTATCGTTGATAATGCCGGTTTATAATTGTTCCAAAGTCCGGGTTCACGGCGACCAGTGCTCAAAGGTGGTAACTGGGGAACGGTGGTCTCATCGTCACTGTGAGTTTGCGGTGTAAATAACTGCTCTTCGATGTTCTTGACATTAAAAGACCCATTCTTCCACACCGATGCGTAGCGTTGCCGTCTGATGCGTGACTCTGAAATAATGAAATCACAAAAGATATCCAGAGCTTCCGAGTCGTTGTGTGCGTCGATTTCCTTTTCAATAAATTCACGATAGCGGCTCTCTGCGTTGCGAAGAAACGTCTCGTCCCGGCGACCGGATAACGGAGGCGTGAAAATTGGGTTGACTGCTCTAATTGGAACCAGCGGCCTGTCTGATGGAGACTCATCCACAGGTAGGTGAAGAAGATGGGAAACCGGTCTTCCCCGGTCATTTACTAGAGGAGTCAACCCAGTCATGGCTTCTGGATCTTTTGCTTCTTGCGTAGGAGGGGTGTGTAGAGCATTTGGTGGCACTTTGCGCCCGCCCTCAGTTAGTGGGGTTGAAGAACGCGGTGCTATTGCAGGTGCGAACGTAGGGGTATGAGACGGTTCAGACGCCTGCAAGGCCCTGGGAGTGGAGAACGAAGAGCTTGGAGAACTCCTTTTACTGAATGGACTGTTGGGGAATCCGCCACTATCCTGTCCACCAGACGGAAGGCTACGTGCGCTGCGGGGTGTTGCTCTGGTTACTGTTCGACGACGAACAAGACCTGGGCCTCTCGAGTTTCCCAAAACAAGGTCTGACGGCCAGGAGGTATGGGACTCTTCGGTTCCAGCAGTGTCACCTTGATTATCCGCCTCCCTGCCGCTCCTACTCTCAATACGCCTCTCTCTTAACTCTTTGGAAGTTGCAATTCTAGGAGATGCCATCCGACCATTTCCTCCAGAGGTCGGTCTCGCTGGTCCAGGCGCTTCTAATGACACGTGAGATGACGATTGTTGTTTGTTTTCAGGGCCCGTAGCGAGCGTGGGTTGCTGATTGGCATTGTGTGGGCTTGTAATTCTCGAATCTGGCCTTGAGCTATCAGCCGACCATCCTGCAGGAGTGGGAGGAACAGAGCCAAGAGCGGTCCCCGTAGATGGAGGTCGTGGTCTGTTGCGAGGGGCGGCGCCCATAGTTGGTCCTGGAGGTTCGAGAGAAGATTGTCGGACTCTGGGAGATGCTCCAGGCGGGGGACCTGGAGGCGGGGGAGGTAACGGCATTCCCGGCTCCCATCTTCCTGACCTAGACGCTGCCAGGCCATCGTGACTAAGCGTCAATCGAGAGGACGGATTAATATCGCCGGTTGACGCAGCCCTTCTGGCCGCAGGCGGCACTAGTCTCGGGGCCTGCGACTCGGGGTATGCGTCTGGGGATATTCTACCAGGCGAAATGACAGAAGAATGCGCGTTGGTGTGAGTAGAAGGGCCTGCGAAAGCGTTCGATGTGGAGGTATCAGGACGCAGTTGCAACTGGACATTACCACCTCCTTGAATAGAAGATTGGTAGAGAGAATGCGGTGCGTTTTGTCCGTCTAAACCGCCGGTGTTGACCATGGAAGCAGGTCTTGGACGTGGAGAAGAATACTGGTTGATTGAGCTTGACCCCGACGCGCGAGCCATCGACGAGAATTCCTGCTGGTGGGCCATCGGAGGAGAAAGCGCATTATTTTGTGGTGACATCGCCAGGTGGGGAGACTGGGAGCTGGCGAGATTTTGCGACCGTGGAGGGGAGTAAGGAGGAGGCGGTGAGGCAGCATCTAGGGGGGATATTAGCGTAAAGGGTTGATGGAAACTTTTCCTCCTTTTTGGGAGAAGAGTCAACCAACCAGTCCTATTAACATGGCCACGATGTGTTCCAGTATTCCCCGGCGTAATGACTCCTATCCCAACGGTTGGCGACGGGACTGGGGCTATTGGACCCCATTCCTGGGGGTTGTAAGCAGTGGTGTAAGGCGTCGGCCTCGCGCTCATCGGCGTATTCAACCCGCTGAGGGGAGTAGAGGAGAAGAACGGAGAATTCATCGTCGTCGGCGTTGGAAGATAGCCGCCGCCGCTCGCGGGCACACCAAGACTCTGAAACTGCAGTCCACTCAAGGACGTTACAAGAGCGGGAGGCTGGGCGACATTGCCTCGACGCAGCGGCGAGCTCGCACCCAGCAAAGCGCCTCGACGCCCTTGAAAATCAGGGACGCCCGACTGTTCTAAGGTGCCAGTCCCGGGAGACAACGGGCTGGCGAGG